GCTTTTTTGAGTGTGGGCAATGACACAGGGGCCCCTTGATCACCTATTGCCCGGGGGCCCCATGAGTTGTCAGTCCACCCCTGACTTATACACAACATAAACAACAACCAGACAACTATAGGCAACTGCACCTAAAATTCTCAGGATATATCCATGGCAGAAATCATCTCGTTCACAGGGAGAAATCATTAAGCAACATCTGGGCAGCACAGTGGCTAAATGGTTAGCACTTCCACCTGGCAGTACTAGGGTCGCCGGTTCAAATCCCAACCACGGCACCACCTGCCTGCAGTTTGCATGTTCTCCCTGTGCCTGCATGGGTTTCCTCTTGGTACTCCGGTTTCCTCCCACACTTCAAAGACATGCTGGCAGGTTAATTGGATCCTGTCTAAATTGGCCCTAGTAATAGGAAGAAAGGTCAGCTGCACACCGGAGGATAGATGAATATAGTGTGTATTTATTGATCCATAGGACACACAAACAAAACACCAGGACATGAATACAGGACCTGTTAACGCGTTTCACACGATCGTGTGCTTAATCATAACCATAAATTGTCCCTAGTATGTGTATGTATGAATGTTAGGGACCTTAGATTGTACACCCCTTGAGGGTTAGGGACTGATGTGAATGTACAATATATATGTAAAGCGCTGTGTAAATTGACGGCGCTTTGTAAGTACCTGAAATAAATAAATGACAGGCTGGCAGGACACCCTACATAGAGAGAAGAAGCAGCACTGCGTCAACCCTGGTCTGAGGTGGAGGGGACCGAATCACCGGATTCCGTCCAGATACGCCACACTTTACTAGATTTTGCAGGACACCCCCTAGATTCATAGGTGCATTTATAAAGTGGGAGGACCATACTAACCAAATGTTTCCAAAAACCAGAGGTAGGGGTCCGGGGGGACTTCCACCTCAAGAGTACGGCTTTACGAGCATAGAAAAGTAACAGACCAATCAAAGTTCTCATGGCACGTGAGATAGCCAATGCTTGAACCAAACCCAACAGACAGACCTCAATAGACATTGGCACTGAGATGGCCACCGCACCGATCTTAGGCTTGCAAGTGATAAAAGGAACTCGGGCTACCTGGCAAGAGGTGCTCGCATGTTCTAGAGGTCCGTGGAAGCAATCCATTGGTTGTATTTCATCTGAAGCCAAAAGTCGTCTTGTAATGTTTATACACATTCCTGGCTGCTGTAGCAAAAGCTCCTACTTCTGCCGATGTAATCCTTACATTGGTGGCAGCAAAGGACAACTCCAGTAAAAATCATTCTTTAAAGCGGAGTCCCACCCAAAAGGGGAAGTTCCGCTTTAAAGATTGGTCCCCTGCTCCCCATTAAGGATTGGCACCTTTGGGGAGCGGGGAGGGGGAACGGGTACCCGAATTTGACAGGTACCCGCTCCCACTTCCGGTGTGATCGTCTAGGCGATCGGAAGCGGAAGTTGTCCTCCTACCCTCCCTCCCCGAAGTCTTGTGGGACACGTGGCAGGTCCCAGAAGATGACGGGGCCATTCAGGAAGTGCAGCCCTTCTCACGCATGCACTGGGCACCCGGCTGTGAAGCCGCAAGCTGTCACAGCCGGGTGCCCACACTGAAGATGCCGGCGCCTGGAATACAGGACGGCCGGTGAAACGGGCTGAAGGGTGGGGCAACGCGGGATCGTGGGACAGGTAAGTGGCTGTTTTTTTAAAAGTCAGCAGCTACAGTTTTTGTAGCTGCTGACTTTTATTTTTTTACAGAGTGAGTGGAACTCCGCTTTAAAATACATGTGTGAATTGTTTTACTGCCAAAGAGGATAAAAATAAAAAAAAAAAACAATTGTTTATATTACACAGGGTTTTAGGGAACTGAATATGACTCAGTTTGGGTTTACATCTGTCACATAGGAAAGTACCGTTATGCTTTTGGCAAAAGATGGAAACGTTTTATGGAAAAAAAAATGACGTGTGATATACAGCGCTTTGAATGCTGAGGAGTCTGACAGAGGCTGTGGTGCTTCATTGGAGCGAAGATAGGAGACATGGGCCACTGGAGAGGTAAGTATAATGACTTATTTTGCTGAAACTCTAGTCTAGGCAGATAAAAAAGACACAAACGGCAGATCTGTAGTTATTAGTACATCATTAACCACTTCCCCCGGGTGAACGCTATATGACGTCCTGGGGGTTAAAGTGGTTATACCAGGATGAAGCCGGCAGCTACAGGCACCAACCTGGTATCAAACATTACAGCCGGTGATGCTGTCTTCTGCCGAAGTAATCCAAGTGGCTGTGCAACCACTTGATCACTTCTACAGTTGGCGGAAGGGGGTGCCCCCCCTCCTGCCCCTGCTGCCCCCCTTGATGGGACGGGAGAGCCCGGGACCACACTGACTTTCGGCATCTCCAGCAGTAAACAGAGAGAGAGGAATTGGCATTGTTCCTTCCTCTCTGTGACCCCAGAAACCAGAAGCAGTGAGGATTTTGTCACTTCTGGTTTCAGTTTTTTGTTTTTCCCGGCTGTTGACGGCAGCCAATCAGACCAATCTGTTTTTGGAGAGACTTCAGATCTCTCCAAAAAGAGTACCTGTCATGGCCCATGTTATCAGAAGGGATGCTGTTCATCCCTGGTGATAGCAATAAAGTTGAATCTAAAAAGGAACTGTGTAAAAAAAAAAAAAAAGTTTTAATAAAAATATATTTTTAAAAATTTAAAGCACACCCCATCCCCCTGTGCTCACGTCCACACACATATGTAGGGCAGCACAGTGTCTAAATGGTTAGCACTTCCACCTGGCAGTGCTAAGGTCATTGGTTCAAATCCCAGCCACGACACCACCTGCAGGGAGTTTGCATGTTCTCCCTGTGCCTGCGTGGGTTTCCTCCGGGTACTCCGGTTTCTTCCCACACTCCAAAGACATGCTGGTAGGTTAATTGGATCCTGTCTAAATTGTCCCTAGTATGTGTATGTATGAATGTAAGTTAGGGACCTTAGATTGTACGCCCCTTGAGGGTTAGGGACTGATGTGAGTGTACAATATATATGTAAAGCGCTGCGTAAATTGACGGCGTTATACAAGTACCTGAAGTAAATAAATATGTAACTGGTGTTCGCAGCAAGCATGCGAGGAATTGGCAGAGTGAGTACAATAACTAGTCTTTTAAAGCGTAGTTTATGGAGAGTTCTAAGTACTGTAAATTGGCGCCATTCAACAAGCATATGCAATCTTAAAATGTTGCATGCTATGTATCTATTTACTCGGCGTAACATCATCTTTTATGTTTTACTAAAAAATTGGGTATTATATTGTGTTTGTGCTCACTAAAATTCAATAAAGTATTTTTTTCCAAAAAATGTGTATTCGAAAAACTGCTGCGCAAATACTGTGTGACATGAAAGAGACTGCAACACCCACTATTTTATTCTCTAGGGCCTCTGCTTAAAAAATATATTAAGTTTGGAGATATAAATAATTTTTTAGCAAAAATATTCAGATTTTTACATATCGGAGGGAAGTGTCAGAATTTGCCTGGTAGACTAAATTTATTTTTTTAAATGCAAGAAATGTAAGTGTCTGAATATGACCCTGTGTCATCCTCTTGCAGTCTCTGTACAATAGAACTGGAGTGTGAGAGGAAGAAGCAGAGCAAGGAGCCAATCAGTTCATGTCCTGACAAGACTCCTGCTGATAGAAGAAGAGCAGAGTGACAGATTGATGAGCCTATCACGGTGCTGCTTCTCTTTTCAATGTCCAGTTACAGGCTGAGAGCAGGTCCAGAGGAAAAGGGTTAGATTATGTTGTGTGAGAGGAAGAAGCAGAGCAAGGAGCCAATCAGTTCATGTCCTGACAGGACGCCTGCTGATAGAAGAAGAGCAGAGTGAAAAATTGATGAGCCTATCATGGCGCTGCTTCTCTTTTCAATGTCCAGTTACAGGCTGAGAGCAGGTCCAGAGGAAGAGGGTTAGATTATGTTGTGTGAGAGGAAGAAGCAGAGCAAGGAGCCAATCAGTTCATGTCCTGACAGGACGCCTGCTGATAGAAGAAGAGCAGAGTGACAAATTGATGAGCCTATCACGGCGCTGCTTCTCTTTTCAATGTCCAGTTACAGGCTGAGAGCAGGTCCAGAGGAAGAGGGTTAGATTATGTTGTGTGAGAGGAAGAAGCAGAGCAAGGAGCCAATCAGTTCATGTCCTGACAGGACGCTTGCTGATAGAAAAGAGCAGAGTGACAGATTGAAGAACCTATCATGGTGCTGCTTCTCTTTTCAATGTCCAGTTACATGCTGAGAGCAGGTCCAGAGGAAGAAGGTTAGATGATGTTGGCCATCAGACAGATATAACAAAAGACTTTTAATGGTATGCGTAATAGACCGAAAGGGAGCGAATAAAAGTTCTATAGTCACAGCATTCACTTTCATTTTATAACTTTTTGTCAATCCAGTATAAGCTTGCTTGAAAAATCTCCTTTCAAGTTGCGAGTTCTGCCTGTCTGCTGGCCGTCTTTTTCCACAACTTCCTGGATGCCCTACATGCTTTGCAGCTTTTCCTCTGCAATTTACGTTCAATTCCTAAGGACTACATATCCCGTGGTACTTTGCTGCCTGCAAGCAGTGATTCCTGTTCCTGAATCTCCTCCCCTCAGCACCTCTGTACTTCAGAAGGCGGGCTCTGTGAAATGTGTGACACAGCAGTGCCTACTCACAGGGCATAGTGACTACGGGTTAAAGAATTCAAGGAATTAAATGTGTGGGGATCTTCACAAAGTAAGTTTATAAACTTCAAGATCACTTAGATTATTAGGAGTAGGTTAGGAATAATTGAAGTACGGTGTTGGAAAGATGAAAGATACGCTGTAATTGTTAGGGAATATACACTATAACAGCTTATGTGTTGCAGTATTGTAATTTGGGCATTTTTGTGTTGATTGACAACCAATGTTAAGTTTTATTATTAAAATACATTGTTCTATTGTTTGTTTAATTGTTTCCTAGGTTCAAGTTATTCATCAAGATGAGCAGTGTTTCTGGAATTTTCTTGCTCCTCCTGTTAGTGAATATAGTTTTTCTGACTGCAGCCAAAGCTGTGTTACCTGAATTAAGCCCGGACACCTATGCCACCAACCTGGCACCTGGAAAGAATTCACTGTTGTACTTCAGCAACACTGGTAAGAAAGTGAACAGCACAAGCAGTACTTCGGGTACTACAAGCACTAGCATTCTTCAGCATAGCCCTTCTCAACCTTTGGTGATCAGTAGGAAAAGGAGGAGATCATATTACATTGGTGGTCAGTGAGAGAAGAACCCTCTTACATTGGTGGTCAGTGAGAGAAGAACCCTCTTACATTGGTGGTCAGTGAGAGAAGAACCCTCTTACAATGGTGGTCAGTGAGAGAAGAACCCTCTTACAATGGTGGTCAGTGAGAGAAGAACCCTGTTACATTGGTGGTTAGTGAGAGAAGAACCCTCTTATGTTGGTGGTCAGTGAGAGAAGAACCCTCTTACATTGGTGGTCAGTGAGAGAAGAACCCTCTTACGTTGGTGGTTAGTGAGAGAAGAACCCTCTTACGTTGGTGGTTAGTGAGAGAAGAACCCTCTTATAATGGTGGTCAGTGAGAGAAGAACCCTCTTACATTGGTGGTCAGTGGGAGAAGAACCCTCTTACTTTGGTGGTCAGTGAGAGAAGAACCCTCTTACATTGGTGGTTAGTGGCAGAAGGTCTCTCTAACGTTTGTGGTCAGTGGAGAAAAGGACCTTCTTACATTTGTGGTCAGTGGTAGGAGGATCCTTTTTCATTGGTGGTCAGTGGTAGGAGGATCCTTTTTCATTGGTGGTCAGTGGTAGGACCCTCTTACATTGTTGGTCAGTGGGAGAAGGATCCTCTTACATTGGTGGTCACTTGGGAAAGGCCCTCTAACATTGGTGGCTGGAGAAGGACCCTCTTACATTGGTGGTCGGTGGAGAAACCCCCCTTACATTGACAATCAGTAGGAAAAGGGCCCTCTTACATTGGTGGTCACTGAGAGAAGAATCCTCCTACATTAGTGGTCAGTGATAGAAGGACCCTCTTACATTGGTGGTCAGCAGTAGAACCCTTTTTACATTGGTGACCAGTGGGAGAATGACCCGTTTACTTTGGTGGTCAGCGAGAGAAAACGCCCTTACATTGACGTTCAGTAGGAAAAGGACCCTCTTACATTGGTGTTCACTGAGAGAAGAATCCTCCTACATTGGTGGCCAGTGGTAGAAGGACCCTCTTTCATTGGTAGTCAGCGGTAGAAACCCCGTTTACATTGGTGGCCAGTGGTAGAAGGACCCTCTTTCATTGGTAGTCAGCGGTAGAACCCCGTTTACATTGGTGACCAGTGGGAGAATGACCCGTTTACATTGGTGGTCAGCGAGAGAAAACCCCCTTACATTGATGATCAGTAGGAAAAGGACCCTCTTACATTAGAAGCAAAAAAGAAAAAACAATCCTCCTGCGCTGCCAAAATAACTCTAATCACCCCCAAGTGGCCGCAGACACCTAACTGTATTCCAAAATAGTGAGATCAATAGGTAAAATGAATTAGTGCTGCGCTACTCAGTGCAAAAGTAATAAATGGACATATAAATGAACAAAATAGAAAAATAAATAAATGCACATTTAACCCTCATCAGAATGTGAAAACAACAAATTGCTGACAGCAACAAGTGCAGAAATCATTACCAAAAATGGTAAGTGCTGAGAATATCAAACATCAGTAAAGCAACACAGTGTACATGTGATATGCCAGTGACTAGGTGAACAAAAATTATGTAAATATAAATAATAAGTAATGAACAAAATGTGACACAGTGAATACGTCCCAAAATGAATAGTAACAGACCCAAAAACAGGAACAGAGTGAATCTTCAGCATAAGCCGTGAGACATCCAGTGATCAAATGTAATCAATTAATCCTCCACCAGCTAGCGTGTGTGCTCACCTCCAAACTGCGACCCACACGGGGTCATACAGCATAGAGAAAACCTCAAACGATGATCTCAAATAGATGGTCCTCGTTAACAATCAAAAAAAGGGGGGTCCTTTCCGGTGACGCTGGCAAACACAGGCGTACCTCAGATATGGCCACTGACCTCTCTGACCTTCAGTATCACCACATGGAAGATTTAATCAAGAAGACAAGATGGCGGCTGCCGTCCGTAATGGATATGACGTCACCATGCTTCCGTCCTACGCGTTACGTCACGGGTCACGTGACTTCCTCAGGGCTTGGGAATGTTCCCATTACAGATTTCTTCCTATGCAGGACTGTCCATCAGGGGTAGCTGATTTCAGGCATTTCCAATGTTCTGCATACAACAGTAAGCCTTTAATAGGAAATTATTACAAATGGACCCCTTTCCAATCAGGTAAATAATGTATCTTTTATATTTGTTGGATAGGCTAAATAATAAATCATTCAATAAATAATAAATAAAATAATAAAAAATTCAATATAAAAATAAAATGAATAATAATGATAATATAAAAAATGAATGAAATGCTTTTTACTAAATTGGACAAAAAAAAACAGGAAAAATTTAAATAGGACAACTTTTGTGTTTTATGGTTAAAGTGTAACTCCAAGAGTTATATTGATTGATGATCCAGCTTGGTTACATGGAATTCTTCATAGCTCACATCCAGAGAGATGCTGGGGATGCAGAAATTCAGTGTAACAGTCTGTGATACATACAAGCATGATCTCTTCCAGGGGCTGCTTGAGCAAATTGCCTTCTGTAAGCTGAACACAGTGGGGCACTTGCGTGGCACCTCCACAATTCAGATAGGTCTTTCTCAAAGAATAGTATTTTTCTCAAAGTATAGTAGACATTCTCTGAATGGACTAGGTGATCATCTTGATGTCGCCTCTCCTCCTTCCAATCAGAGAAGGTTGTGTATGAAAAAAACAAAGTTGTTCTGTACATGGTTGTACGACTGTGTTCAGTATACAGAAGGTACTCAAAAGTCAACAAACCCCATGGGGTTTTAAATGTAGCATTTGTTATTTGAGGATATACATCCAAATACCTCTGTCCTTAGGAAGCGGTTTCCTAATGTGTGGACAACAAGATATGAATACTGAAAGCTGTCAGTGATGAACAGCAATAAAAACATGACTATAGTGTACTATATATGTAATCTGCAGTTGATATACCCATGTATTCGGTTTTAAAATAATGTGGAGCTCATTTGTGTCTTTTATTGGGGATGAAATGAACATTGAATATTGTAATGATAACATTTGCAACATTTAAAATCCCTTGGGGTTTGTTGACTTTTGATTATGTGATTTTTAGATGATAACAGATCAGGAATGAAATTGGTGTAAAAAGGTATACCTCCACTTAGATGTGGAGATTTAAGTATTTGTAAGGTAAGTAATTTGAGCAGAAATCGGAGGAGACCAGTGCTCACTGTAAGTAGCACAGGCTACAAGAGTAAATTTCTGCATTCTCAATGGCCCTGCTGATGTGGGATATGAAGAATTAGATGTGACCAAAGCTTTTGCAAGTGTCTCGGCATTGTTGTCAATAGATTGATTGATATAAAGCCATTTATAAAGAACCAACACAAATGCTCCTGGGCTTGGGGATGGACTCGATGCAGGCTACAACCACATTAAGAATGTCCTGGAACATGAACACCTTGCTGCCCTCAACAGACCGGGGGAATACAAATATACCGAATGAGGAGGGAACAGAGAGGGGGCGCGCAGGCCTAGTGCATTACCATAAGGGATGTTTGGTGAGAGATAGGGTAGGTGTTGTTCTCACAAACGACAATGATGTGCCTTGACTTTATTGTCGTTTGTGAGTACAGCACCTACTTTGTTTCTTGTTGAACATTTTTTGTGGTGATGCACTGGGCCTGTGCGCCCTCTCTTTGTTCTTTCCTCATTCAAAGACATTTATAACTCTGCCTCAAATTACATCACCGATCTTGTCTCTAAATATCACTCAAACCGTACTCTCTGCTCCTCGCAAGACCTGCTCTCTAGCTCCCTTGTCTCCTCCTCCCATGCTCGTCTCCAGGACTTCTCCAGAGCTTCCCCCACCCTCTGGAACTCTCTACCCCAATTTATCAGACGATCGCCTATGCTGCTCACTTTTAGGCGATCTCTGAAAACCTATCTTTTCAGGGAAGCCTATCCTGCCCTCAGCTAATATTGGAATCTTCTACTCTTCCAACCAGTCCATCCCCCACAGTTATTACCTTTTGTACCACTAGCCCCTCCCTCTTAGATTGTAAGCTCCCAGGATCAGGGCCCTCCTATCCCTCTTGTATTGAACTGTATTGTTGCTGTATTGTCTCCCGTTATATTGTAAAGCGCTGAGCAAACTGTTGGCGCTATATAAATCCTGTATAATAATAATAATAATAATAATTACAGATAGCTGAAAAGATCATTGATGTCATTGGTTACTTATCTGAATGGCAGAAATTGTTGATTACTCAATGAACCCCTAAAGCCTCTGGGGGAACCTTTGTGTTCCGTGGAACCCTGGTTAAGAAAGGCTGCTATAGCAGATTTTTTTTCTTTTCCTTCCCATTAGGATTAAAAACACTTTTTGGCTGGTCCACTCACATCACATGTAATCAGGTGTATTTTTTTAAACACATTGTTCTGTATATCATCATTGTGTTGAGTAGGGGGCCTTCTATTGGGTGTTCACTGCAACTGCACCTGTTTTTATTATTCCTTTCAACAAGAATAGGAAGTGTCTGATGTTTGTTAAAAAAAATAAAGATTTCCATCCACCACTGCAGCCATTTTAGCTTCCTGAAAAACACTAGCAAAGGCCTCTTTTCTTCCTTTGATACACATATGCCTGTAAGTTCATTTGTTGTGTTTGTTAAAGTCACATATATATCCAGATCGCATTTAAATGTATTTAATGTGATTTGTAGGTAGCTGTTTGCAAGAAATGTGTTCATTGTATGCATTTGTCAGAGACATGTACAAGTAGATTGTAACTTCAGTTTATTATTATTATACAGTATTTATATAGCTCCAAAGGGTATGCTCAGTGCGCTGTACAGTAGCAAGGGGGACAGAACATGAGACAAGACAGTAACAATACAATACATGAGGGGTTCGAGGGCCCTGCTCTTTCGAGCTTACAATCTAGGAGGGAGGGGAAGGTGGCACAGGAGGAAATGGCTGTGGGGGATGGAGTGGTGGGTGGAGTGGAGGAGGTTAGTTGTTAGGTGAGGTCGGGTGTTAGGTGAGGTTGGGGTAGGCTTCCCTGAAGAGGAGAGTTTTCAGGGTGCGCCTGAAGGTGGGGAGGGTAGGCGACAGTCTGATGGATTGGGGTAGGGAGTTCCAGAGGATGGGGGAAGTCCTGGAGAAGTCCTGCAATCGGGTGCGGGAGGAGGAGACCAGGGAGCTATAGAGTAGGAGGTCCTGTGAGGAGCGGAGGGCACGGGTAGGGTAGTATTTGGGTATTAGGTCGGTTAGGTAGTTCGGGGCGGCATTGTGAATGGCTTTGTAGGTCAGGGTTAGCAGCTTGAACTTGATGCGTTGGGCAATCGGGAGCCATTGAAGGGATTGGCAGAGGGGGGAGGCAGATGTGGAGCGCTTGGTGAGGTGGAGGAGTCTAGCTGCTGAGTTCAAGATCGACTGGAGTGGGGATAGCGTTTGTTTGGGTAGGCCAGTGAGGAGGGAGTTGCAGTAGTCCAGGCGTGAGATGATGAGGGAGTGTACGAGTTGTTTGGTGGTGTCTGGGGTGAGGAATGTGCGTATCTTGGAGATGTTGCGGAGGTGGAGCCTGCAAGATCTAGATAGCAGTTGGATGTAGGAAGGAGAGGTGGGAGTCTAGGGTGACACTCAGGACTTTGGCGTGTGGGGTGAGAGAGATGGTGGCGTTGTTAGTAGTGATGGAGAAGATGGGGGGGGGGGCACGGGGGGGGGGGGGAAGACCAGGAGCTCGGTTTTGGATAGGTTAAGTTTGAGGAAATGGAACGACATCCAGTCTGATATGTCGTTTAGGAGGTGGGCGATGCGGGCAGAGAATGAGGGGGTGAGGTGGGGGGTGGAGAGGTAAATTTGGGTGTCGTCGGCATAGAGGTGGTAATTGAAGCCGTGGGAGTGAGTAAGTTTGCCAAGGGAGGAGGTATAGATGGAGAAGAGGAGGGGCCCGAGGACAGAGCCTTGGGGGACCCCGACAGAGAGGGGGAGGGAGTAGGAGGTGGCAGTGTAATTGTTTTGCAGTTTTACATAACTATTCACATCAGTAAATTCAGTTTTGGAATGAAACACAACGCTGCTTCTGCCAGATTTGTTAGCTAGCTGTCAGCTAACCGTTTGTAGGACAACATACACATTCCCAGTGCATAGACAGTAAAACGTTTTTCAGTGACACTAGTTGACACTCTTACATTACATTTAAGTGAACTGAAAAATGTACCGCAAGCCGCATTTCTATGTAATGTAACGCACATAAATGCAACGCAAATGTTACTCTGTAAAAGGAAATGGATATTGAGGTGTTTGGGCCCTTTACATGAAACTTAGAATGAATAAATACAGCACATCTGATGCTAGGTCTACTCTATGATCATTAGTAAGTTAGTGTGAACTATGTGAGTCCTTCACCCCCCCACCTCCCCTTCCCGATCATTTACCGCCCTTTACATCTATAACATGCTGAGGAGTAGGAGTGACCACACAGTGCCCCTGGTTTTTCTTTTTTTAAAATTCTTCCACATGTTGCTGTGGCCACTATCATTAGTAAGTGATTTATCACATAAAGAGTTACATTTCAGCAGCTATACTAGGAATGTGGTTTGTGCTCAATTCAGCTGCAGAGAGCAGAGTTTTCCTTTAAGTGTTTTTGCATTTCATTTCAGAGTTTGCCAACAATGTCATTTTTCTGGAGGAGTTACAAAAATCTGCTGGGGTTCTGGAGGACTATGGGATTTATGTTGCCAAGGTAAAGTGTTTAACAAAACAAGCAAAATATTATCAACAATTTTGACTTTTGTTTTTTTTTGTTACAAAGTATGTTTTGGAAGCCCCGGTTCACACTGGATTGGACTTTGAATTCATGTGATTTTAACTGAAGTTGTGCAGTTTCAAGTTTGGATGACAGTGGGGCTATAGGTGCGACTTGATAGACATCTGTGTGACTTCATGCACAGATGTCTATGCAAGCAGGGGCGGACTGACCATTTGGAAACATGGACACTGCCCGAGGGCCCGGAGTCAGTAGGGGGCCCCATGAGATGCCCTTGGTACCTTTTTCATAGGCTTTTTTGAGTTTGGGCAAGGACACAGGGGCCCCATGATCCCCTATTGCCCGGGGGCCCCATGAGTTGTCAGTCCGCCCCTGTATGCAAGTTGCACCCGAAATCGGCAAAAGTAATATTGAAACTACTTTTCAAATCTGTGGTGATGAAGTCAGAGTCACAGCGATTAGAACACTTCCATTGCCGATCATTGGATACGATTTGTCATGCAATTTGAATGGTCAAATCGTATGACAATTTGCATCAGTGTGAACCACGGCTAAAACGTTTATGTTTACAAGAGCTACAAACAGGGAATTTTCAAAGAGGCCCTGTACTGTGAAAACTGTGCCCAAAAAGGCAGGCAGAGGGCAAAGGAACAGTTACTAGTATTTCCCTGCTACTGATCTTTTCCCCATTACTGACTTGCCATACCTTGTTTGCCTTATGTCTCTGTGTGCCCACATAGATATTTTTTCTTTTCGAAAAATATACCGTATTTTCCGGCGTATAAGGCGACTGGGTGTATAAGACGCCCCCCTAATTTTACAGTTAAAACATAGGTTTTAGCCCATACTCGCTGTATAAGACTACCCCCCACTTCCAAGGCAACACCAGTTATTTTAAATACATTTTCATTGAATGACATTTTTCGAACATAACATACATTGATAAATGGAAGGCCAATCACAACAAGCCTGCTTGGATTGGCAAAGGTTGTAATAGACTGCCTCTCTGACTCTGGCCAATCTGAGCAGGCTTTTTACTAGAATACAGTGTATAAACATACCGTACATAATGTCCCCATTATTACATTTTAGCCCACTGGATATGCTTGTAGATTCGGCTACATACAGAATATAAGATCGTATTTACCTTTGGATGTGCTCTATAATACTGTGGCTTCGGCTACAGAACGTCCCTGTGCTGACACTGTATGAACTGCGCTGAGCCAATCACAGCAAGCGGTGTATTCATAATTCGTATGCATAAAAAGCCTGCTCGGATTGGCCGAGTTAGAGAGGTGGTCTATTCAACTTTTGCCAATCCGAGCAGGCTTGCCGTGATTGGCTCAGTGCGGGACAGTGTCAGCACAGAGACATTCTGAAGCCGAAGCTACATAGGGCTTCCAGCGGCACATCCAGCCGAAGATAAAGAAGCTACATCCAGCGGGGTAAATTATTTATTGATTAAATAAATTAATTATTGGCAATCTTTCACTTGGGGATGTTGAAGATGTGCCCTCCATATTACCTCAGCTCCCGGGATGGACAGTTTTCCGGCATATACCCGGCGTATAAGACGACCCCCGATTTTTGGGGGATTTTTTTTAGTGTGAAAAGTCGTCTTATACGCCGGAAAATACGGTATTTGAAATATATTTTACAAATATTCTTCCCAAACATATTGCCATATATTTGAAATGCTACAATTTTGCCCATATTCAATATATATATATATATATAAACACTGTATGTTGAAATGCGTTTTTATTACAAAATATATGAAAAATATTTTTCAAAATACATTTCTAATATACTGTATGTCTTTAAGAATACATATCTTCATTTTTGGAATGCATTTACAAATACATGTAAAAATATATGTTAAAATTACTTTTTCATATGTTAAAATAAAATCTGAAGAAGGCGATAAAGCGGAACTTCTGCATTTAGCGGAAATTCCCTTTCAAAGTAAACGTAAACCCAATCAGTAAAATCTCATATAAGGATTAACATATTATTGAAATACCATATTTTAGGGTATGGGATGACAGCGCTCTGCCCCTGTCTCCCAATTGCTCGCCATCATTGCCACCCTGTCACATGTGCTTCTAGTGGAGGCTGTAGGCAGCTGTGCCATTGCTCATTTTGCAGACATGATCCCGCACCAAAATGATGTCCTTTGCTGTTATTGGTTTTGTAGATTTCCATAGCTATAAAGTAAAAGCAGAAGCAGCAACCTCGACATTGTGCTGTCTTATAAAAGAAGAACATTTATATGTAACTCTCTGGCAGGCAGGGAGCCAAATCTTCACTGTTTTGCAGAGTTCTGCTACCACTGCTATTTGACAGCTTGTCCTGCACCGGGCTCAGTAACTTTCAGCCAGCCCCTATAAATCCTGGAAACACTGTGCCCAGAGGAGGGCTTGCTGTTGAAAAGCAGCCATAGCCAGAGCTCTCCTGACTGGCTCCTTGTGCTGCTTCCCCCTCTCCTAGTGCAAGTTCTGCTGTATAGAGACCACAAGAGGCTGATACCACCTGCCCCTTCTGCCAGAGAGGTAAGTACAATTATTGTTTTTATTTACAGGGTCACAACAGAGTATATGGGGCCAGCACAGTGGCTAAATGGTTAGCACTTCCACCTGGCAGTACTAGGGTTGTTAGTTCAAATCCCAACCACGGCACCACCTGTGTGGAGTTTGCATGTTCTCCCTGTGCCTGCGTGGGTTTCCTCCGGGTACTCCGGTTTCCTCCCACGCTCCAAAGACATGCTGGTAGGTTAATTGGATCCTGTCTAAATTAGCCCTAGTATGTCTATGAATGTGAGTTAGGGACCTTAGATTGTACACCCCTTGAGGGTTAGGGACCTTAGATTGTACGCCCCTTGAGGGTTAGGGACTGATATGAATGTATAATATATGTAAAGCGCTGCAATAAATTGACGGCGCTATACAAGTACCTGAAATAAATAATAATGTAGTGACTTCCATTAGAGATCCAAGATGGAAGGGGGGGGGTCAGGGGCATATTTACCACAAAGCAAACAAGGCATTTGTCTAGGGGGACAGCGCTGCTCCCCTACAGAAGGAATGGAAGAAGAGACACATACAGCATGGGGACCAGGCGGGATCTGAGTAGGGCTGCTTGATGGTGTATGCAGAGCCTGACTCTTGTTCCCGGGGATGTCTTTTGCTGTGAAGGTGAGTGTCTTCTCTCTTACCAGGGTGGGAGAGGGGTTGCCAGAGTATGGGGGGCGGTGGTAGTGGAAGGCTTTCTCGGGAGGGGGTAGGGGGGCTGGGGTGTTGTTGGTCAATGTCAGGCACTCTTCGTGGGGGAGGGGGGTGTTGTTCGGTGTCAGGGTCTCTCTTTGCCTAGGACAGCACAAAATCTAAGATTGTAAGCTCCGAGGATCAGGGCCCTCCTATCCCTCTTGTATAGAACTGTATTGTTGCTGTATTCTCTCCTGTTATATTGTAAAGCGCTGAGCAAACTGTTGGTGCTATATAAATCCTATATAATAATATATAAATCCTGTATAATAATAATAATATATAAATCCTGTATAATAATAATAAATACACCGTTGGTGGGGAGGGTTATATTTCTCATTTTAAGTGAAGCTGGGACGCCCAAACCCCAAGCAGATTAAAATAAACCCGTCATAAGAGAGTTGCCATTGTCTTGCTTCTGAAAATGTTAGGTCAAAGTCTGAAGTCCTTTTCTGCATGCTTGTTCTAAGGCTGGCCGCACACACAGTTTATTTATTTCAGGTACTTATATAGCGCCATCAATTTACGCAGCGCTTTACATATATATTGTACATTCACATCAGTCCCTAACCCTCAAGGGGTGTACAATCTAAGGTCCCTAACTCACATTCATACATACACATACTAGGGACAATTTAGACTGGAGCCAATTAACCTACCAGCATGTCTTTGGAGTGTGGCAGGAAACTGGAGTACCCGGAGGAAACCCACGCAGGCACAGGGAGAACATGCAAACTCCACGCAGGTGGTGCCGTGGTTGGGATTCGAACCAATGACCCTAGTACTGCCAGGCGGAAGTGCTAACCATTTAGCCACTGTGCTGCCCCTTACAGTTAGTTTTCTTTTCGTTCAGCCAGAGGGCTAAATGAATAGCAAACTAACAGATTTCTCCATCCACACAAACAGGTCATTGTATTCTGACAATGGCTTCAGAAACATTTTCCAACATGTCTCTGACAGGAGTTGATCAAATGTTCAACTCCTGTCAAGCGGGGACAGCCACACACTGATCGGAAGTCAGCTGGTCCCTGCTGAACTGGACTGGCCAGCTTGAGACAGTGACTCAAAATTTTTATAACATTGTCAGCATGACAGCCAGGTAACTAGCAATTTCAGAAGCAAAGATTATTAATGGCAACTTTCTTTTTCTCCTATGATAGGTTTCCTAAAGTAAAGCCTGCTCATATCTTTAAATGTTTCCAGCGGTTTTCGTAGCTACAAAGCCATTTCTGGAAATCCATAAATTTGCTCCGACTCTTGTATTGGATTATGTAATACCTGAGGGAAGGGCTGTAGATCAGAGCTGACTGAAAGCTGAACTCCAGGCAAACTGCTTAACAAACAGATGAATGGCAGTATAAGGACGCTGTTTTACATGCTAAATGGTTTGAATTTCTGTCCATCCAGTCCTCAAATTTGCACAGTTCTGCCACACAGCCCAGTTTTGTCTGGCATGGCAGAAGAACTGATGTTTCTTTGCTGTTTAATAAAGTGGAGTTCCAGCTAAAAAAAAAAAAAAAAGTCAACAGCTACAAAAACGGTAGCGACTCAGTTTTAAAATGCAGCCATTTACCTGTCGCTCGGTCCAGCGGTGTCCTCGCCACCGCTGGTTTCACTGACCATCTTCTCTCCCTGGCTTTGGTATCTTTAGTGTGGGCACCTGGCTGTGACTGCTTGCGGCTTCACAGCCAGGAGCCCACTGCACATGTGCGAGAAGCGCTGCACTTTGTGAATGGCCCCGTAGTCTTCTGGGACCTGTCACGTGTCCCAGAAGACTACGGGGAGGGAGGACAACTTCTGCTTCTGGTCGCCAGCGGAAGTGGGATCGGGTACCTGTCAAATTCGGGTACCCGCTCCCCAAAGGTGTCAATCCTTAATGGGGAGCGGGGGACAAAGCATTAAAGGAGAACTTCCCCTTTTGGGTGGAACTCCGCTTCAAGTAATACAGGTCTTGTCCCTCCCCCAGCCTGTGATTGGACATGAAAGAAGAAGCAGCAGACTGACTAGCTCATCTCTCTTTCACTCTGCTCTCCTCCTGTTAGCATGTTCTTTGTTTGCACATGAGTGTGCAGTACAACTGACCGGCTTCTTGTGTTGCTTCTCCCTCTCCCAGTCTAAGTTCTGTACAGGGACCACAAGAAGCTGCTATCAAGTTAATTTCAGGCATTTATGCTGCTTGCATTTATAAATATAGTCAGTAGTGTATTAATAAACACTGAGCTGCATCAATTTTGTGTCTTTTATATCTGCCTGAATGTCAACTTTAACTTTGACTTTATTAGGAAGTGTACACCCAGGTTTAAGGGGGTGCACAGTGTTGGACATTTCATGTTACTATAATCAATAAAATGCAGCGCTTGATATTGCAGATAAAAATGACATAAATAAATGGATAAGTAAAAGTCTTAAAGAGTGCAACGTGGCAATCGTGGTTCTTTAGGTGGCTGTTAAATTATCGCGACTTCCGTGGTTCGTGAGAAGTGAGTATACAATGTACTAACCAGGTAGCACAAGGTTTTGTGCGTTGGAGTAAATAAGACCTACTCCAAAGGTACTCTGGGAACCGGAACTCGGCAAACAGGTGAAGTCGTCAGGTGGGGTTGAGTCACCAGATGTCATCAGACCAGCGCAGATTTCCTCATTCCAGTATAATGTGTGATCATCACATTGGATACATCATGCAGTATGAATTTCAGCCACCGGGGGGATCATGTACTTTAGTGTAAGTCTCCTACCATGGAGCACCTTAAGGGAGGGGGGCTCACGATTTCCAAAAATGAGCCCAGAGAGAAAGAAAACTCCAATAGTGTAGTATTTATTATAACAGAAGGAGTTACAATTGCAAGCAAGTAAAAAATGGAAAAATAACTGACACTTACATCCAGAGGTAATAAGGTTAGCATATGGGTCAATAATCCTTGTACAGGGGGGTCTCCTACTGACGCGTTTCGAGTACATTCAGTTCTTTTTTCTATTTTTTACTTGCTTGCAATTGTAACTCCTTCTGTTATAATAAATACTACACTATTCTTTCTCTCTGGGCACATTTTTTGGAAATCGTGAGCCCCCCTCCCTTGAGGTACTCCATGGTAGGAGACTTACACTAAAGTACATGATCCCCCCGGTGGCTGAAATTCATACTGCATGATGTATCCAATGTGATGATCACACATTATACTGGAATGAGGAAATCTGCGCTGGTCTGATGACATCTGGTGACTCAACCCCACCTGACGACTTCACCTGTTTGCAGAGTTCCGGTTCCCAGAGTACCATTGGAGTAGGTCTTATTTACTCCAACGCACAAAACCTTGTGCTATCTGGTTAGTGCATTGTATACTCACTTCTCACGAACCACGGAAGTCACGATAATTTAACAGCCATCTAAAGAACCACGATTGCCACGTTGCACTCTTTAAGACTTTTACTTATCCATTTATTTATGTCATTTTTATCTGCAATATTAAGCGCTGCATTTTATTGATTATTGTACATTCCATTAGAGGATTCAGGTATTTTCTCCTTTTTTTGCTGGCGGCTGATTTTATATATTTGCTCTATGTTACCCAGCGCTCGTATATCCATTGTTTTATTTCATGCTACTGGTTATGTTATCTATATTTTCATTGTTTGTGATCATTTAGACACTCTGGTTTTATATTTCTGTTTTACCTGTCAGGTTAATTGTGTGAAAGAAGACACCATCAAGTTCTGTTCAGAAGGAAATGCATACTTCTTCAGGTAAAGAAAGACTTTCAATCCAGGTTATCACTGACTGCCTATGACCCCACCGAGCGAATCAGATTGGCTCCCAATCATGTGATCACTATGCTAGTGACAACAGGCATAGCACGCAGGCTTCACTGGAAAACATATGTTGTAGAAATCTTAAAGAATAAGTGCGCTTTCAGACAAAGTGAACTTATCCTTTTATTTCTCCATAACCTATGGGCAGTGGCGTCCCGAGGCAGCTGCGGGAGATGCGGCCCGCACCGGGTGACAACGACCGCACGGGGTGACTCCGGACCCGCTTCACGAAAAGGAAAGTTGTAAAGAAAGCCGACGATCCCCCGCAGGATGGATCAGAGCTGCGGATTGAGCATAATGGATCGGAGTCCGATCCATTTTGCTCAGTCCGTAGATCCGATCCATTCTGCGGGGATCGTCGGAGGGGGTGTCACCAAGTGTTAACGCACCTGGTGACACCAACCCTAGGGATGCCCCTGCTTAAGGGCCCTTTGACATTCATGAGTTTTTGAGCAGCTCAAGGGCCTTTTCACACTGATGCGCTTTTAATTTGTTCTCATTGGCTTACAATGATAGGTTCTTTTTCGGTGTGCTTTTGCACCAAAGATGCAGCATGCAGGACTTTTCAAAGTGCAGCACACCTGTAATGTGAACGGTTACATAGGATTTAATGGGGAATAGTTCTCATGTGCTTTTGTTGCCCTGGAAAAGCGCGGCAAAAGCGCACCAGTGTGACAGGGGCCTAGCCTATCCTCCAAATCCACAGATACATATTTATCTCAATTTGACAGCCACTGTCTCCATTGTGACTCCACTGTTTGTTTACATCCAGTGGTGTATGTCTTCACTTCCTGGCCACATCTGTGAGTCCCATAGACTTCTATGAGACCTACCCCCTCAGCTACTGGACACGGCCCCATCAAAACCTATGGGGATGCAATGCACATGCACTTGCAGGAGAGTGAAGACTTGCACCACTGCATGTGAACAAACAATGGAACTGTAGCCACTGGATCGAGATAGTGTGTGCAGCTGTGGAGGAGTGAGGTAGAGGAAAGTTAGGTAACGTCAGGGGAAGGGAGACAAATGGATAAACTTGAAAGTTAGGTAAGGTCAGGGGAAGGGAGACAAATGGATAAACTTGAAAGTTAGGTAAGGTCAGGGGAAGGGAGACAAATGGATAAACTTTGTCATCAGTTTAAATTGTAACTGTGATTGCCTTAAAGCGATTCTAGTTCTTTGTTTTCTAAAAAATAATAAACATTTGTCTTTACAATGGTTTTGCACACAACAGCCCCGAACTTCCTCTTCTAGGGTCCCTTGCTAGTGCTCCTGGCTCCTACTTTTCTGTGAGTGACCCCATAACAAGCCACTTGCTATAGGGGCACTCGTGTGGACATTCATATACACCGACAGCTCGGCTTGGCCCCCCCCACAATCACAGGATTTGATTGACAGCAACAGTAGCCAATGGGCTCCTGTGAGTATTTAGGGGGACTGTGGGGGATCCTGATCACAGAAGGCTTTTTTCCGTATTGCAGAAAATGCATTAAGGTAAAACACCTTAAAAGAGAAGTCTTTTTTTTTTCCTATTTATACTTACCTAGGTGGATGCTGCATCTGTCCCCTGCTGTCAGTCTGCTGTCAGCTGAAAATAAGTCACAGGAGTGCAGAACGGAGTGCACTCCTGTGATCCACAGAAGTACAGCCAAAAGAGCTTTGGCTGTACTTCTCCTTTTAAGCCTTTAAAAGCAATGTAATAAAAATAGTAACAGAACTAAAAACAAAATGCAAATTAGTCATACAGTTATTGTCACGTAACTTAGGCTGATGCATGTAAATGTGGCCTGGGCATCCAAGCATCAATGACCTCAGGTCATGAAAGGACTAAGTAGCATCTAAGGTGAAAGCTGTCTGCATTGCCCATAGCAACTGATGCACCTCCACCAGCAACATGACAGGTGAAACCTGGTTGGCTACATGGGCCTCACACACACACTTTTATTTCACTCTTAAAACATTATGTCTTAATACATTATTGGGCACATTTATAAAAAGTTGATTTGGGATTACCAAGCTTTCCCTGCAGATGAATCTTCCTGGTGCATGCTTTTTAAGGCACGTTTGGTGAAAGTCACCTTCACTGCTTTATAAATATGCCCCTATGTGTAGAATAAGATGGCCTAACTTGATCACTATTTGTTGTTCTCTAGGGGGACGAAACTACTAAGGGAATTCCCTACAGACACCCTGTTTGATGTCAACGCTATTGTCGCCAACGTTTTATTGTAAGTACATAATGGCGGACGTATTTACTCATTACATAGGTAGCTCTGCCTCCTGCAACTCTGGAGCAAGAAAAAAAGTCAGATCCCACGATGCAATAGTGACTTCATTATTTTCCTCTGTGTAAGCTAGGTCATCTGTCAGAATGCTATAGTGTAAAGCAGCCTTTCTCAACCAGGGTGCCTTGAGGTTTCTTCAGGGGTGCCTTGAGGGTTCTTCAGGGGTGCCTTGGCAAAACGTCTAAAAATTGACCAAAATTTGTATACAAGCCAGCGGGTGGAACAAGCCCGCCTTTTAGTTCCACAAAGCCACAGGTTTTCATTGTGCACCATTATGATCTCCTAGCTGCCAGCGTCCTGACAACTAATGACATCGTCAGTTGATAAGGAGGATGTCAGCTGCCTGCACTGCATCCTAGTTTGACCCTCTGCTGCCCCTCTCCATCAGTATTGGGGTCACATTAGCTGAGTGATGGAGAAGGAAAGAGGGAGAAGAGAAAAACGGGAATACTACTCGGTACCAGTGTATTTGCACCTCTAATGTTGGGTGTCCTATATGTGTGGATGTTGCTGCGTTATATAAAACTATTAGAATAGTTTTTCACATTTTAGAATGGGGTGCCTCAAGACTGTCCATCATTTTAAAGGGTGCCTCAGGACTGTCCATAATTTTAAAGGGTGCCTCAGGACTGTCCATCATTTTAAAGGGTGCCTCAGAAGTATCCATAGTTTTAAAGGGTGCCTCAGAAGTATCCACAATTTTAAAGGGTGCCTCAGAACTGTCCATCATTTTAAAGGGTGCCTCAGAAGTATCCATAATTTTATAGGGTGCCTCAGAAGTATCCATAATTTTAAAGGGTGCCTCAGGACTATCCATCATTTTAAAGGGTGCCTCAGGACTATCCATAATTTTAAAGGGTGCCTGAGGACTATCCATCATTTTATAGGGTGCCTTGACTGAAAAAAAGGTTGATAAACAGCGGTGTGTAGAGGGACAATGCACATTTTTCTGGGTTTAAAGGCTAAGTCCAGGAAAAAAATTATAAATGCACTATATAATTGTAGCAAAAAAAGCTCATTTATTATCATTTTCCAAATGAGTCAGCAAAGCATTACAACCACGATCATTGGGTCACAGGAGCAGTGCCAGGCTACTGTAGACTGTTCCTCCATGTCCCTGTCTGTGCCGAGTCACAGGCTTTCAGTTGGAGAGCTATAGGAAGTGTCACTGGGCTATGAGTGCATTGATCGTTGCGCTTATATTCCATTCATAACTATAAGCACTTGGCCCCTTTCACACGGACAATCCGATCAGGTCAGTTTTTCAGGTGGACCTGATCAGAAGGTCCATTCATTTCTATGGCCTGGCAGGTGTCTGTTTACACCCGCCTACCTTTTGTGTCCAATCCGGTCCGCTGAAACAAAACAGAATGGGATTGGTCCTTTTCTGTTTAGGTAGATCGGAGGTTAGTCGGTAGTAAATGGACAATGGACTCTGTTTACTCCTGGCTGCCTATAGAGCAGAGCGACTGTGTCCGTGTCTGCTCTGCATAAACTGAGCAGACACGAATGTGTCATTCTGCTCTGCTCCGATCAGCAAGATATCTGTGAGCTGATCCCCTGCTGCTTGGAACGCAATCCACCCCATGTGAAAAGGGACCTATTGTGGGGGGGATTATGTCTGCATGGCACCATTTTACAGGGTACACAGGGTAACTTGTAACATGGTGTAAAAGGTGGAGTTAATCTTTAAGTTCTTTATCTGAAACTTGGCATGGTGAAATGATAAAAGTGAAACAGCTTGAATGTAGTTAATGTTTTTAAATTTAAAAAATTCCTTTATAATTCCGCACTGTGGTATACAATTATACAAATAGAAATACTACAACCCTAATGAACAGCCACCACAATATTGCAGGCAACAATATAAATAAAATAATATACAAAGTGCAGCGAGTCAAATAATCATAAAATAAACATAAAAGTCCAATCCATAAAGATAGAGGTATACGGAATGAGCCCCTCTTCCCTGGATCATCAGTGCTACTATAGATGTCTCAAAACTGCCATGAGGAGAAGACAGAAAAATCCACCATCACCGTCACCAAACACACTGCCACTTACCGGATCATATTGCACTCCCTCATCATATCACGACTCGACTACTGCAACTCCCTCCTCACTGGCCTGCCTCGCCGCTGGCTATCCCCACTTCAGTCCATACTGAATACGGCAGCCAGACTCATTCACCTTTCCAACCGCTCCATTTCCGCCACCCCCCTCTGCCAATCCCTCCACTGGCTTCCAATTGCGCAACGGATCAAATTCAGAATCCTAACACTGACGTACAAAGCCGTCCACCATACTGCCCTGAACTACATCACCGACCTAATATCCAAGTACCACCCAGCACGCACACTCCGCTCCTCACAAGACCTCCTTCTCTCTAGTTCCCTGGTCTCCTCCTCCCATGCCCACCTCCAGGACTTCTCCAGGGTGTCTCCCATCCTCTGGAACTCCCTGCCCCAACCCATCAGATTATCACCTACTCTCCTCTCCTTTAGGAGCACACTGAAAACCCATCTCTTCAGGGAAGCCTACCCCACCCCCTGCTAACTTGCCGACCTCCTCCACTCTTCCTACCACCCCATCCCCCACAGCTATCTCCTCCTGTGCCACCATCCCCTCCCTCCTAGATTGTAAGCTCGAAAGAGCAGGGCCCTCGATCCCCTCATGTTCTGCATTGTATTGGTATTGTTCTGTCACATGTTCTGTCCCCCTTTGTAATGTACAGCGCTGAGCGAACTATTGGCGCTTTATAAATACTGTATAATAATAATAATATTGACCCCCAGTTACAGATGGGTCAAAATGCGCTGTATGAAATCCAAAAGGCAAGCTGTGGACCTGGGCACTCTTTGGTTCCAAACTGCCACAACAAAAATGAACTCGAAGGTATAGGTATAGAGGACCACCCCGTTCAAAATGCAAAAAGAATCCTCATAGTGTAGTATAATAAATAGAATCTATTGCCTCAAACATAGTAAAAAATATACATATAAGGAAATGTAAAACAGCACGTCACCATGTAGATAAATGGTAAATTTCAAACCAACAAGATTGCCACCACACCGGAACATGGGGCTCATTCCCTATACCTCTGTCTTTATGGATTGGACTTTTATGTTTATTTGATTATTTGAAGCTCCGCACTTTGTATATAATGTTTTTAAATTGCAATGACTTTCTCATTTTACCTTTCTCATCCATTATCTTTTAGTGTTTTGCTTTATAATAAAGTAAAAATATACTACCTCCATACTGGAACTTCAGAACTTAGAAGATGCCATGAAAGGAAAGAAAAACATTATTTTTGTCTACGTCCAGGCAGTTGGAACACCAGGTACAGCAAGTAATATAACACAGCCAATCAGATGAGTTGCAATACATACATTATATGGCCAAAGGTTTATGGACATTGATCCATCACACCTATATGAACTTTAATATAGGCTCAGCTGCCCAAAAAGAACAGGCTGGACAGAGAAAGCAATGGGCCGATAGGGAGAGTTTATTATTTATTTATTTATTTCAGGTACTTACAGTCAGGTCCATAAATATTGGGACATGGACACAATTCTAACATTTTTGGCTCTATACACCACCACAATGGATTTGAAATGAAACAAACAAGATGTGCTTTAACTGCAGGCTGTCAGCTTTAATTTGAGGGTATTTACATCCAAATCAGATGAATGGTGTAGGAATTATAACAGTTTGCATATGTGCCTCCCACTTTTTAAGGGACCAAAAGTAATGGGACAATTGGTTTCTCAGCTGTTCCATGGCCAGATGTGTGTTATTCCCTCATTATCCCAATTACAATGAGCAGATAAAAGGTCCAGAGTTCATTTCAAGTGTGCTATTTGCATTTGGAATCTGTTGCTGTCAACTCTCAAGATGAGATCCAAAGAGCTGTCACTATCATTGAAGCAAGCCATCATTAGGCTGAAAAAACAAAACAAACCCATCAGAGAGATAGCAAAAACATTAGGCGTGGCCAAAACAACTGTTTGGAACATTCTTAAAAAGAAGGAACGCACCGGTGAGCTCAGCAACACCAAAAGACCCGGAAGACCACAGAAAGCAACTGTGGTGGATGACCGAAGAATTCTTTCCCTGGTGCAGAAAACACCCTTCACAACCGTTGGCCAGATCAAGAACACTCTCCATGAGGTAGGTGTATGTGTGTCATAGTCAACAATCAGGAGAAGACTTCACCAGAGTGAATACAGAGGGTTCACCACAAGATGGAAACCATTGGTGAGCCTCAAAAACAGGAAGGCCAGATTAGAGTTTGCCAAACGACATCTAAAAAAGCCTTCACAGTTCTGGAACAACATCCTATGGACAGATGAGACCAAGATCAACTTGTACCAGAGTGATGGGAAGAGAAGAGTATGGAGAAGGAAAGGAACTGCTCATGATCCTAAGCATACCACCTCATCAGTGAAGCATGGTGGTGGTAGTGTCATGGCGTGGGCATGTATGGCTGCCAATGGAATTGCTTCTCTTGTATTTATTGATGATGTGACTGCTGACAAAAGCAGCAGGATGAATTCTGAAGTGTTTCGGGAATATTATCTGCTCATATTCAGCCAAATGCTTCACAACTCATTGGACGCTTCACAGTGCAGATGGACAATGACCCAAAGCAGACTGCAAAAGCAACCAAAGAGTTTTTTAAGGGAAAGAAGTGGAATGTTATACAATGGCCAAGTCAATCACCAGACCTGAATCCGATTGAGCATGCATTTCACTTGCTGAAGACAAAACTGAAGGGAAAATGCCCCAAGAACAAGCAGGAACTGAAGACAGTTGCAGTAGAGGCCTGGCAGAGCATCACCAGGGATGAAACCCAGCGTCTGGTGATGTCTATGCGTTCCAGACTTCAGGCTGTCATTGACTGCAAAGGATTTGCCACCAAGTATTAAAAAGTGAAAGTTTGATTTATGATTATTATTCTGTCCCATTATTTTTGGTCCCTTAGCAAGTGGGAGGCACATATGCAAACTGTTGTAATTCCTACACCGTTCACCTGATTTGGATGTAAATACCCTCAAATTAAAGCTGACAGTCTGCAGTTAAAGCACATCTTGTTCGTTTCATTTCAAATCCATTGTGGTGGTGTATAGAGCCAAAAATGTTAGAATTGTGTTGATGTCCCAATATTTATGGACCTGACTGTATATATCGCCGTCAATTTATGCAGCGCTTTACATATATATTGTACATTCACATCAGTCCCTAACCCTCAAGGGGTGTACAATCTAAGGTCCCTAACTCACATTCATATATACACATACTAGGGACAATTTAGACAGGAGCCAATTCACCTACCAGCATGTCTTTGGAGTGTGGGAGGAAACCAGAGTACCCGGAGGAAACCCATGCAGGCACAGGGAGAACATGCAAACTCCAGGCAGGTGGTGCCGTGGTTGGGATTCAAACTGACGACCCTAGTACTGCCAAGTAAAAGTGCTAACCATTTAGCCACTGTGCTGCCCACTGACCAGCCCAGCATTCTGCAGGCACCTCCTGTGCTGGGTGGCAGGATTAACCACTTGCTGCTCGTTCACAGTAGATTTACTGTGACCAAGCAGCAGCTGCAGGCTCAGCAACTTATCTAAATTTTACGAGCTTGCTTCCGGGTCTGGGTTCGCGAGTGATTGGACACAACTTTGTCAGCAAGTCCCAGCCAATGATTTATGGCTGAGACCTGCTGATCGGCTGTGCCCAAATACACCACAGAGTCCTGTGTTTACAAACAACACAGGGCTCTGTACACAGAGCAGCGGTCTGGTGGTTTCTTCTCCCTGCAATGCAGGGAGGAAAAACAACCAGATCTATTTGTAAAAGCAGCACGCATTACACTTGTTAGGCATACAGTTAACCCCTTGATAGACCCTTGATGTTTACCCCTTTCCATCCAGTGTCATTAATACAGAGACAGTGCACAGTTTAGTCAGTCAGTTAGTGTACCTTGCAGTGAGGGTCTGTTAGTGCCAGATTGTCCACCACACTATTACAGTCCCACTCTAAACCGCTGACCACCGCTATTACCAATAGCTGCGTAAAATCCATTATATATAACATAGTTTGTAGACACTATAACTTTCACACAAACCAATGAATACATAAAATATATAGTAATATAAAAAATATATTCATACATAATATATAAAATTGGGATTTTTTTTTACCAAAGATGTAGCAGAATATATTTTGGCCTGAATTTATGAAGAAATTTGATTTTTTTTTAATGTTCTGTTCTTCGATACAGTATGTTCTATAACAGAAAAAAAAAAATATTGTTTTTTTTTTTTCCAATTTTTCGGTCTTTTTTCATTTACACAAGTGGTCTCCAAACTGCGGCCCGGGGGCCGGATGTGGCCCTTTGCTTTCTTTTATCTGGCCCTTGGGGCATTATTTCCCCCCACCAATAGCAACAGTGGGGCATAGTTGCCGCCACTTACACCAATAATAGGGCACTTATTCCTTCCACTAACACCAATAATGGGGAATTATTCCTCCCACTGACACCAATGATGGGGCACTATTCCTTTCACTGACAACAATAATGGGGCACTATTCCTCCCACTGACACCAATGGTATGGCACTATTCCTGCTATAGACACTAATGATAGGGCACCATTCCTCCCACTGGCACCAATGATGGGGCGCTATTCCTCCCACTGACACCAATTATGGGGCACTATTCCTCCCACTGGCACCAATGATGGGGCATTATTCCTCCCACTGACACCAATAATGGGGCATTATTCCTCCCACTGAAACCAATGATAGGGCACTATTCCTCCTACTGACACATTGATGGGGCACTATTCCTCCCACTGACACCAATTATGGGGCACTATTCCTTCCACTGACACCAATAATGGGGTAATATTCCTCCCACTGAAACCAGTGATAGGGCACTATTCCTCCTACTGACACCATTGATGGGGCACTATTCCTCCCACTGACACCAATGATGGGGAACTATTCCTTCCACTGCCACCAATAATGGGGTAATATTCCTCCCACCGAATCCAATGATAGGGCACTATTCCTCCCACTGACACCATTGATGGGGCACTATTCCTTCCACTGACACCAATAATGGGGCACTATTCCTTCCACTGACACCATTGATGGGGCACTATTCCTTCCACTGACACCAATAATGGGGCATTATTCCTCCCACTGAATCCAATGATAGGCACTATTCCTCCCACTGAATCCAATGATAGGCACTATTCCTCCAACTGACACCATTGATGGAGCACTATTCCTCCCCCTGACACCAATTATGGGAAACTATTCCTCCCATTGATACCAGTGATGGGCTACTATATCTACCGTTAATACCAATGATGAGGCATTGTTTACTCCCACTGATACCAGGACATTTTCTGCTCCCACTGGCCACAGTCCAGCCCTCCTAAAGTCTGAAGGACAGTAAACTGGCCCTTCGTTTATAAAGTTTGGAGACCCCTGATTTATACAATAAACATAAAAAAAAAACAGTGGTGATTAAATACCACCAAAAGAAAGCTCTATGTGTGTGAAAAAAAAAATGACATAAATTTCATTTGCGTACAGTGTTGCATGACCGTGAAATTGCCAGTTAAAGTAGCGCAGTGCAGCACAGCAAAAGATGGTCTGGTTATGAAGAGGGGAAAACCTTCTAGAGGTCAAGTGGTTAATAACAGGTGCCATATAGGCTTCTGTAGCGTTGTGCTAGGGTTGCGCAGCTGCACCCTTCTACCGCACCTCAGACCGATGCAAGGCTCTTACAGACGCCCGGGACTTCCATAGTGTTGGGTCTGTGCAGCAAAGCCCTTCCAGCTCAGGGCACACGATAACACATGGCCCTTATGGAAGCTTGGCAAATCAAACACCAAGCTTCCGTAGTGTCACACCTGCGCTGCTGTGCCCTTTCACCTTGGGGCGCACACAGACGCACGGCCCTTTCAGTCCACCAAAATCCTCAGCACCAGGTCCATGATGCTCTTAATCTGGCCCTGGCATTAATATAGAGTCCCCCCCCAATAAAAACCTCTCATGGGCTCTAACACCCAGCCACACATTTGAACGAATTGATCTGACCGGAGTTTTACTTTACAAAGAACATTTAGGTTCTTTATCTCTTTCATCTATCAGTCCAGTTTCTGTTTTAGTTTTTGTTGTTTATCTGTTCTTCTTTCAGAGCACCGGTCCGTGATGGAAGCCGTTTTCATACACGGGTCAGCGCACCAGTTTGTTCTGACTACAGAGTCCAGCTTATTGAAGAGTATGAGGTATGCACGCCATAGTAAATAGGGGTGAGCGTAAATTAAGAGTTTGTTACTGAAGATTTTCAAAAATATCAGTGGAAATTTATTTGAAATGTGGCAATTTTTGACAAAATGCATTGAAATCAACAAGGACGCCAAATTAAAGCTGAACTCCGGCCTTTCCTTTAGTCTTGCACAGTTGTACAGGCTCCTCCCCTGCACTGAAAATGCCTAAAGCGGAGTTCCACTCACTCTGTAAAAAAAATAAAAGTCAGCAGCTACAAAAACTTTTAAAAAACAGCCACTCACCTGTCCCACGATCCTGCGTTGCCCCCGCCGCAGCCCGTTTCACCGGCCGTCTTATATTCCCGGCGCAAGCATCTTCAGTGTGGGCACCTGGCTGTGACAGCTTGCGGCTTCACACCCGGGTGCCCACTGCGCATGTGCTAGTAGCTCTGCGCTTCATGAATGGTCCTGTAGTCTTCTGGGACCTGCCACGTGTCCCAGAAGACTATGGGGAGGGAGGACAACTTCTGCCTAGGCAATCGGACCGGAAGTCCGATTTCTACATGATGGAAACAATATTTTTCCATATGCAGCTCTGCTCTGCAGGCTTTGTAGTGCTGCACAGTCCCAGGTGCATCACAGCCTGCCATACTTACCTACTCTCTGCTGCAGTCTGCTGCAGTAATTCATTCTCTGTTTCTGGGGTGCAGAAATTCCCCTTTCATCAGGGCTTATATAGTATGTAACCTCAAAACTGGCTGTACCCAATAGGACATTGATCATTTTTAAATATACAGAATCTGGTGTCACGTAATACCACCAGCATATAGTGTAGCTGATACTAGTTTCTGTATATACTGTCACGTACCTGATGGTGGAACCTGAGATGTAGAGGAGGGGCCTCCCCTGCGGCTCTGGCTCCGGGGCCCTGGTAAAGTGACAGGGAGCACCAGAGCACAGAGGGGCACAAGTACCTGATGGGAATTCCGTGGACGAGTGTGACGGGAGTCACTTTGGTTGGGGGCCCATGGAACCCTTCTCCCTTTGGAGAGGTGGGGAGATGCCTGTCTCAGCTCCCCATATCCCTCTTATGTGTAAGTCACCCTCTGCCTGTTAGGGGTACAGGGCGATCTGTCCTCATATTGTGTAGACCTGTCTAGGAGATAGGTGGGATGGGGGGGTTGTGGATTGTTTGGTGTTATGTGGTTGCATCCCATTGTTCTATTGTTTGTCTGGCTTGGGGGCAAACTATTATGGGATGTATGTGTTTATGTGTATTGGCTTTGGTGGGGGGGTGTCTCCAGTAGCCCTCCCACCTGATGGGGCTGTCTGCTGGTGTGTCTCTTGTTACTAAATGTAGATTGCCCCGCCCCGTGTCATTATGCAGGGAGGGGGGTTGTTCCCTTGAATGTATATATCTTGTATCTGTGTTATAATAAACTAGTCTACTTCCTGGTTTACTTCATGATTGGTGTCGTCTAGTCTTGTATGGTCGGCTGTGGTGTCTGTGTTCGGTGTTCGGATGGGGAAGCGGTATTCTAACAGAAGTATCCAAGCACAGTCTGGGGTTCAGTTCCGTTTCAACGGGTGTGCGTCAGGAAAGCGCAGGAGTGGCTAAGGATGGCACACTGGCAGTGGTGCAGGGTAGCCAGGCAGCTGGTGCTCTGGCGGATGTGCAGGTGCAGAATACTTGCAGGGTAGCCGGTAGGAAGCTGGATGAGCATAGAGAAGGTCAGGCGGTCCGGTTCAGCAACAAGTGGGCAAGGTCAGACAGAATCGGCAGGCAGAAGAATAGTTGGTGGGCAGGCGTTGAGGCAGGCGGTGTTCTAGTGAGGTCAAATGACAGATCGAATCAGCAAGGCAAAACAGATAGCAGGGTACACAGGAACACAGGATAAAGACCAAACAGCATTGAGGCAGAGTCCCATCTTAGTTTAAATAGACTGCCTGGAGCCAAAGTGACGTCGCGCATGCGCACCTGCTCGCGCGCGTGACCAGCCACAAACGGAGCCAGCAGGAGCCCCGTGACTACCCTGACAATATACATTAAATATCATCAATCTATTGAGTCTTGCTATTTTACCCTGATGAAGGGGGATTGTCTGATCCCCTAAAACATGCCGGCTCTCCTTTTTGCCAAAGATTTAGTTAAAACATTTTCTGGAATCTTTGGTGTGGTCCATTTCCTGCTGTCCACAAACAGTAATATCATGGCTCAGCCTCCTCTCTCTTCTCATTGGCTCACTGGCTATGAGTGACTGCAGCCGAAGCCAATGGCTCCTGCTGCTGTCTCAGCCAATGAGGGAGAGGGGGTCCCGGGATAGCTGAGACTCCAGTGCACATTACCGGATGGAGAGGGGGCTTAGGTGAGTATTAGAGAGGCTGGGGGGATGCCACACAGAAAAGGTTTTTTACTTTCATGCATAGAATGCATGAAGGTAAACAAACCTTGAGCCCTTACAACCACTTTAATTTAAAAAATGCCTGCGAAAGTGGCACTTCAAGGTATATTTGAGCAAACTTCCTGACTTCAGCACTGATGCAGTATCTTCTGAATAGTATTGGCAGGTCCCTGAACGATTTGCCTTTTTGCTCAGATGTACTTTTCCCGTTGTATGTTCCATTGTTCTCCAGCAGAGGTCAGGCTTGCTTCATCCTAAAAATATTCAAAGTTTCATATTCATAATCTGAAGCAAACCAATAGAGCTGGTTAAAAAGTTTGTATTTTAACCGCTTTCCCTCCAGAGGATTTACCCCCCTTCCTGATCAGGCCATTTTTTGCGATATGGAGTTGCAATACTTTAAACTGACAATTGCACGGTCATGCAACGCTGTACATAAGTGGAATTTTTCGTCCTTTTTTTCCCCACAAATAGAGCTTTCTTTCGGTGGTATCTGATCACTTCTGCATTTTTATTTTTTGTACTATAAACAAAAAAAAAAACACATTTTGACTTTTTTGCTATAAAACATCCAGTAAAAATTTTTAAAAACTAAAATTTCTTCATAAATTTAGGCCAAAATGTATTCTGCTCCATGTCTTTGCTAGAAAACAGATCCCAATTAATTAATTGGTTTACGTGAAAGTTATAGCGTCTACAAATGGTGGTATATACACTGGAAATTTTATTTTTATTTTTTTATACTAGTAATTGCAGTGATCAGTGACATATAGCAGGACTGCGGCGGGCATTCTGACACTGGGGTGGGAACTGACTAACTGCTACTGACATCCCAATGACACTAATACAGTGATCAGTGCTAATAAAAAGCACTGACACTGTACTAATGGCACTGGGCAGGAAGAGGTTAACATCTGGGGCAATCAAAGGGTTAACAGTGTGCTGTTTTACATGATGTGCTGTGTGTGTTTTACTAGGGAGACATGCTGCTGTGTATTTCTCATTTCTGCAGAGAAGTACACAGCAGCATGTCCTTGCTGGTAAGAAAAAAAGACCTGTGTTGCTTACACACAGGTCTCTCCCCTGTCAGCTTTACCCGACGATCGCCAGGTGTCGGAGTGGCATCTCCGGCCGAGATCTGGTGATTGACATCCTTAGCCGCCAATGGCGTTCGCGTCCCCTACCAGGAAATGCAAACCACGTGTGTGTGTGTGTATATGTGTATGTATATATATATATGTATGTATATGTGATTTTGTGCAGCCCTGTAGCAGTAGTTCTACTCTAGGGCGGCGGGAGAGCGATTAAAGTTCATACGTTTTCATGTGTCTTTGAGACGTTTCTAATCACTTAATCACATTTTTGCATGCATTTTCCAGGGTGAAAGAGTATCGCCTGAATTATAATGCATACAAAGCTAAAAATAAATAATAGTAAAAACAACGCTGATGCCCCCCCCCGCCCCTATTAAATAAATAATAAAAATTACTATGCAGAGCCATACAAAGCAGTGTGCAGGAGCTGACATGGGAGAGATCTGTGTTGTTTATACACAGGTCTCTTCCCCGTCGGTAATACTCGGCAATCGCCGGTTGCCAGCGGGGAATCACCGGAACCCGGTGATTGACAGCCAAGGCCGCGAATTACAAGAGGAACTGCAAAATCATGTATATATATGTGATGTTGCACACCCATGCCACCCTGTAGCAGTATTTCTGCTATAGGGCGGCGTGGAAGCGGTTAACATACTTTCATCACAATAGTTAATTGTCACTATAGTAACACTGTACTACTCTGAGGAGGTTTCAGGGATTTGGTTTTTTTTTTTTCGTGGTTTTTATTTTTTTTTTTTTAACACTTTGATTGCTGTTACAGTGATAATCACTGCAACAGTACTGTTTTGAACGGTCATGAATGGTTGTATGCCCCTTGAGGGTAGAAGTGTACCTAACTTTCTTTTTATATTACATAGAATAGGAAAGTGTTAACATTTCAGTTTTTATTGCTGTCTTTATTGTGTGCTGTGTCTCGGGAACTATTGAAGAAAGCAATAGGAAATCCTAAACTTTTCTGCAAGGTGCTAACTATATTTTGTACTCTTTGCATTTATAGCACAGAGGAGCCCAGCCAGGTATCAGCGAAGCTTTTCTTTATCCATTGTAAGTCTGTGACGAGCGTGAGCCAGAAATGTCACCAGACTGTGATGGAACAACCCCTAACAACCATCAACATCCACCGCTTTCTGAAAGTCATGGGGCTTCCCTTGGTGGTAGGTTTGAGCATAGCAGAACATTTATAAGCAGTTCTTCCCCATAGAAACAAAAAATTCAAAGTCAGCAGCTACAAATACTGTAGCTGCCGACTTTTAATAAAAGGACAATTACCTGTCAAGGGATTCAGCGTGGTCATCACCTGAGCTGGCTCTACTGTAGTCTGCCAGTCCCCAGCGTCGGCATGTTTACTTTGGGAAGCCGGCTGTGGCTGCTTGCGGCTTCCAACTATGTATGCGCGAGGCAGGTGGCTGCAGGAGAAGGAAGGCTGAACTTTCGCTCAGATCGCCGCAGTTATCCAAGTGGAAGTGGGAACAGGTACCTGTCCAAACCAACACCCCCCCCCCCCCAAAAAAAAATAAAGTGTCCAGACTTGAAGAGGGGGAAGGGGGGAGGCAGATAAGCAAAACCTCCCCTTTTGGGGGAATTTCCACTTTAAAGTCATTGTCCAGCTTTGTTTGAAAAACATCAGTGTCCATCATATTGTAAGTATTTACCAAATGTAAATTCCCACCCCCCCTCCCCTTCCCGCTTCATTTCTTAATGCATTAGGTCCCTTTCACACGGGTGGACTTCGCCAGCAGATCCGCCTGCTCAGTGGGGATCTGTCCACGGATACCTGCTGATCAGGTGGATGACAGGTCCATGTCCGCTCCACATATGCAGAGTAAACATGGACACAGCCCACTTTCCCCTATGGGCAGTCAGATGTAAACGTACCACCTGTCAGCATTAAGCTGGCAGGGAATTATCCTCCATCCACGCTGTTTAGAAAAATGGGGGAATCACCAGATCTAAAATCTAAACTTGTACGGATAGATTTATGTTAAAGGGGACCTTCCACCTCAGTGGCAAGTGGTCAGCTTAATACTGACCACCGACACCGGCTGTATTCTGACAGATGCCATTCACTCATGGCTGCTGTTAGAAACCACGGGGCCCCATGCAGCAAACCTGACAGCCCCCCCACAGTTTACTATGCTTCAGTTATGCATGAACAGTGAGTGATTGGTACCGATCACTCATTGTGTTCATTCAGGGCATGAAGGGGCTAGTAAATGTGACATATTTACCGGACCCTTTCCCCCACTCTTCATCCTGACGGATCCTATTGTGCGCTTACAGCTGCTGGAGTGAAGGCAGCAGCACTGCGGGGGGGCCTGGGCAGCAGTAGGAAATGTATCATGCTCAGGGAGGGTAATAGGTGCACCAGGGGGGTAATTACTGGAACTGATTCCCTGTTTGGTCCCTGCTGCAGCAGCTAAAAACCAGCAAGAGGGAGAGGAGCAGAAGCCAGCTTTTGGTTGCTGCAGAGAGAGCCATACAGGGGATCAGTTCCGGTAACTGCACCCCCCTGCCAATGCCGATCACCCTCCATGCCCATATCTGATTCACTCAGATGCCTGATCCTTCCTGCTGGCCTGGGCCCCATACAGGAGGACTAGTGGTACCACCTTATCCACAGCCCTGCTTTCACTGTGGCATAATTGTAAATCCTCCCTCCATGTGCTTTGTATGGCAGTTTTATATTACTTAGTGATATTTTGTTTAGTATATGACCTGTTTGGTAGCTATTCCCTATTTCTGCACTTTGAATAAATCACCTGGATCTCTTATGATAAAAAAATAATCATTTGCAGAACAGGATGAAGGGGGTTTACATGAAACGTTGCGTGCCCGCACATTTAAATCTTATAAGTAAATGATATCTGTGGATTTTCAGGGCGAAGTTTCTGGAGATCCGGATAAATTCACAAGTGTTCACCTCCAGCTCGGCCTTCCCGTTATCTTCATTGTGAGCCAGCAGGAGACATATGACTCTGATTTGGAGACAGCAGAAGAAGTGGCCCGGCAACTTCTAGGGAATGCCGGTGTTGCCATTTTACTCAGGTATGATACTACAGTATCAAAACATTCTAAACCCTAAAACAAAAATATAAAATATTACAGCTCACCAGTGCTTTGATGTAGTGGCTGCATTCATTTTATGTTTTCATGGGTTTTCCCTTATTTTCACCTGGTGATCCTGCCAGTAGCATACTTTCTGTCTTAGATAGACAATGCTCACTCCACTGTATCTATAACGTAGTAACGTCATCACCCTAGGGCAGGGGTGGCGAAGCTATGCCACATTTGCCGCAGTGAGCACGCAGAGCCCTCTCTGTTGGCACGCGAGCCAAGTTGCCCCAGCATCGCGTCAGCAGCCGAGCATCGCTAAGAGAGCATATAGGGGCTATAAACATGCTTGGAAAGGAGTAGTGGTGCCAGGCAATGACGTCACGAGCCACGACTCAATAGCTGCGACTCTTCCGAGCTTGTATGGCCAGTCAGTGCGCTGCCAAACTATATATACAGTTGTGTTCAAAATAATAGCAGTGTGTTGAAAAAAGTGAATAAAGCTCAAAGTCCTTCTGATAGCTTTTATTTCCATCAACACAAATGCGACCATTACACACATTCTATTCCAAATCAAAACATGAAGAAAAATAGATCAAATTTGTGTTGTTCCTCTAAAAAAAATTGAAGAAAAGTGAATATTAGACGGTTCAAAAAAATAGCAGTGTTTGTATTCTTTACAAACTCAAACATTCACTATATAAACTGAAAAATGTTTGAAGATTTTGCTTTCCTTTGAATGACTTCATGAATATTTGGTTGTAGTCGAACTGTTTCTGAGAACTGCTGTACATCTGTGTTGCATGGAGTCACCCAACTTCTGGCCCCTGTGATCAGGTATTCCAGCCCAGGATGATTGGACTACATTCCACAGTTCTTCTCTATTTCTTGGTTTTGCCTCAGAAACGGCATATTTGATGTCACCCCCAAAAGTTTTCTATTGGATTAAGATCCGGGGATTGGGCTGGCCACTCCATAACGTCAATCTTGTTGGTCTGGAACCAAGATGTTGCACGTTTACTGGTGTGTTTGGGGTCGTTGTCTTGTTGGAACACCCATTTCAAGGGCATTTCCTCTTCAGCATAAGGCAGCATGACCTCTTCAAGTATTCTGATGTATTCAAACTGATCCATGATCCCTGGTATGCGATAAATAGGCCCAACACCGTAGTATGAGAAACATCCCCATATCATGATGCTTGCACCACCATGCTTCACTGTCTTCACAGTGTACTGTGGCTTGAATTCAGTGTTTGGAGGTCGTCTGACAAACTGTCTCCGCCCACTAGACCCAAAAAGGACAATCTTACTTTCATCAGTCCACAAAATGTGGCGCCATTTCTCTTTAGGCCAGTCAATGTGCTCTTTGGCAAATTGTAACCTCTTCAGCACACGTCTTTTTTCCAACAGTGGGACTTTGCGGGGGCTTCTTGCAGATAGCTTGGCTTCACATAGGCGTCTTCTAATTGTAACAGTCCTCACAGGGAACGTCACACCTTCTTTCATCTTCCAGGAGCTGATTGTTGGCTGAGTCCGCGCCATTTTGGCTATTCTTTTATCCATTCAAATTGTAGTTTTTCGCTTCCTTCCACGTCTTTCAGGTTTTGGTTGCCATTTTAAAGCATTTGCGATCATTTTAGCTGAGCAGCCGATCATTTTCTGCACTTCTTTCTATGTTTTCCCCTCTCCAATCAACTTTTTAATCAAGGTACGCTGTTCTTCTGAACAATGTCTGGAACGACCCATTTTCCTCAGAATTTCAGAGAGAAATGCACTGTAACCAGCATGTCCAACATTTGCTGCCTTCCTTCCTTAAATAAGGGCAATAATTGCCACCTGTTTTTCAAAGAATGAATGACCTCACTAATAGAACTCCACACTGCTATTATTTTGAACATGCCCCTTTCAATGAGTGATTCAATTACACAGAATCAGCAGCATACATGTCATGACTGTTGGGTCTGTTGGATTTCTATTACTCTACTACACCTGCTAGGAAATTATTTGCCATGTAGAAATATCATTTCTACCAAAAACAGTGATTGATCCGGTTAGTGATGTCAGACTGCTAGATTTTAGCTTGTGCTGTGGTCAGTGGAACTTTGCCCCCTTGTGCTGGTGCTCAGTGAAACTTTGCCCACTTGTGCTGGTGTTCAGAATCTTTGCCCCCTTGTTCTGGTGGTCAGTGGATTTTTACCCCCTTGTGCTGGTGGTCAGTGGATCTTTGCCCCCTTGTGCTGGTGGTAAGAATCTTTGCCCCCTTGTGCTGGTGGTCAGAGGACCTTTGCTCCCTTGTGCTGGTGGTCAGAGGATCTTTGCCCCCTTGTGCTGGTGGTCAGTGGATCTTTGCCCCCTTGTGCTGGTGGTCAGTGGATCTTTGCTCCCTTGTGCTGGTAGTCAGTGGATCTTTGCCCCCTTGTGCTGGTAGTCAGTGGATCTTTGCTCCCTTGTGCTGGTAGTCAGTGGATCTTTGCCCCCTTGTGCTGGTGGTCAGTGGATCTTTGCCCTTTTGTACTGGTGGTCAGAGGATCTTTGCCCCCTTGTGCTGGTGGTCAGAGGATCTTTGCCCCCTTGTGCTGGTGGTCAGTGGATCTTTGCCCCCTTGTGTTGGTGGTCAGTGGATCTTTGCCCCCTTGTTCTGGTGGTCAGTGGATCTTTGCCCCCTTATGCTGGTGCTCAGTGGATCTTTGCCACCTTGTTCTGGTGGTCATTGGATCTTTGCCCCCTTGTGCTGGTGGTCAGTGGATCTTTGCCACCTTGTGCTGGTGGTCAGTGGTGGAAGCTCTGTTATTGTGTTTTTCTATGCGATAAATAAGTGGGTTTTGGGTTGCAGTTTGGGCGCTCGGTCTCTAAAAGTCTCACCATCCCTGCACTAGGGCAATAGTAAATATCACTTACCCGTCTCCTCTTCTTCATAACTTAGAGGGAACTGTTTTGCCGTCCACAAAGATAGCAGGGTGCAATGCTAACTGACAACACTTAGCAGAGGCAGAGCACACAGGAAGTTATCAGCTACCTGGATCTCTGGCAGGATCAAAAGGTTTAAAGAGAAGTTTATTGTTGGGGCTTGCCTAAGCCTTTAAATTGCTTTATCTGCCAATGCTTTTGCTGGCTGATGCTGATCACTTATTGCTTAAAGCACAGGAACAGGTTTGCTTTAATCACCCCACTCCCAAAAGTACATACATACCGTTCCTTCACTCCCTCACCACTCCACTCAGCTGTAAGAAGCAAAGAAAATATTTGTTTGGGTTGTGACACTCTCCATGTGGCAGTCATGTTGTCGTACCTTGTTCTGTTTTGTTTTCTTCAGGGAGAAGGTTGCTGTCCAAATCCCTCCCGATACTAATGTGGGCATAAAAAGAGCAGAAGAGGTAAGCACCACTCCAGACAAGTCAGCTCACTCAAAACTGGTGTAAAGGTAACTGCAGGGGGGTCGCAGCAAGGAGAGAGATCTTGATGCTAAAGTATCTGTCTCCCCCCCTCCCTCCTTGTTTGTGCTTTCTTTTAGGCTCAGTTCACGCCAGGGGCGGACTGACAACTCATGGGGCCCCCGGGCAGTAGGGGATCATGGGGCCCCTGTGTCCTTGCCCAAACTCAAAAAAGCCTATGAAAAAGGTACCAGGGGCATCTCATGGGGCCCCCTACTGACCCCAGGCCCTTGGGCAGTGCCCGAGTTTCCAAATGGTCAGTCCGCCCCTGGTTCATGCTAGCTTTGTCAGCCGGCGTCAGACAGGCGTTTGGGAAGCGTTTTTAACGCTTCTCAAACGCCTATGAAAATTCTACACATGGCAGCACACAGTGCTGTTCACACTGAAGCGTTTGCATCGTGTTGCGCTGCATCGAGGCAAAACTGATGCTTCGTGTCCAGTCAGGAGTTGAAGCCTCCCAGTCAAGTCTATGGTGCCGCTCCACCTACACCTGGCAGGCGTTTGCTGTGCAGTTGCAACGCGGTTGCGTTAATACCATTTTACTTCATTATAGGCGTTTGTGGTGTGGTTTTAACGCTTGGCAAATGCCTATCAACCGCCTAAAAACCGCGCATGGAGCATTCGGGGAGCGTTAAAAATGCTTCCCAAACGCCTGTCTAATGCCTGTGAAACGCTATAGGGGCGTTTGCCAAGAGTTAGAAATAAAGTCAAGTGTGAACGAGCCCTTAAACTCTCAGGATGGGACAAGTGCGTGATATTTCTGGAATGATCAACAGATATTTTTTGTACTTGCTGAAATTTTTCATAGCCTAAAAAAAAATAATGCATACACCACAAGGACTGGTGAGCTGCAATATATTTAAAAACATTTTTTTAGGTTTAGATACACTTTAAAGTGAAACTTTAGTCAAAAAATTAATTAACTTCATGCTGGTCCCGTTTGCAGGTATAGCTATGTAAAACATTAAATAAAAGTGCCTATACTGTTTAAAATCCAGTAATATATTGCTCTGCACATGCTCAGTTGTTCTCTATTTTTCAGCACTATGCTAAAAATGTAGAGGCCAGTCTGACAGTCTAAAAATTTACTGCTGCTCAGGGGCTTTGGACTTCAGCAAAATGGCAGCTTCAGCCAGCAAGAAAAAAACAGGATCAATGCTGGAGGCAATTTACAGAACACATTTATTTTGGTAGCATAATTATTAATGAGGAATGTGTGTTGCTTGCTAAAGAACATTATTTTTTATCAAGTTGTTATGAATAAAGTTTCACTTTAGGGGCCAGTCTATGCAACAGTGAAGTTTCAGGCAAAGGTGGAGTTTGGTGGGTTAAATCATTAACCAAAATCTGAAATGTAAGCTTTGGATGGGCTGCAAAAATATGTGGGTTGTAAACATTCACTTCCCATAACTACCCTATATCCATTTCTTTGTTTACAGAATTCTCTAGTGAAATACTTGAAGCTAGAGGACATCCAGCAAATTCGGAATCTTCTACTTGTCACAACTAATGACGAGGAAACGGAGAAAACTAAAGACAATACCGCTGACCCCGGTAATTGTATTAAAGTGTAACTTCATCTTCCACCTTCAGTTTTAGAAATATTCTCTTGTGTTTTATTCACATATATCCGTGCAAAATGAAACCTATAGGACAGTGGTTCTCAACCTTCCTAATGCCATGACCCTTTAATACAGTTCCTCATGTTGTGGTGACCCCCAACCATATAATTATTTACCCAGTAATTATAATTCATGAAGTGTCGTTTTACCTCCAATACTGCTGCTTTCTGCACAGTAGGTGCCTTTTAACACAGTAGCTGCTTTCAACACAGCAGCTGCTTTCTACACAGTAGCTGCTCTTTACACATCGGAAATATGTGTTTTCTGATGGTCTTAGGGGACCCCTGTGAAAGGGTCGTTCGATCCCCAAAGGGGTCGCGACCCACAGGTTGAGAACCACTGCTATAGGACATATGGTGCCTTGAAATATGTAAATAAATAAATAAAGCACTTGAGAATATTTTTAAATTTGAAGAGTGATCATTGTAATACACTATACCAGCCTTTTTCAACCTTTTCAACGCAGAGGAACCCTTGATGTAACATTCCGGTCTCAGGGAACCCATGCTAAAAATGGCTTTATCTACAACTCATGATACATTAGTGTGATGTTCAGTGGGAAGAATGTTCCTTACACTTGTGGTCATTGGGAAGAATTACTCCCTTACAGATTGCTAAAAGAAATCAGTGGTATCAGAGGGAACTTGCTTGAGAGGCAAAAATGTCAGCTGACATTCTGACCTGCATTTGTCCTGCTTCAAGCAGGTTTTGCATTCCCATAGAATTGAATAGGAATGTAATTCCCTCTTAAAGTGTTACTAAACCCAGGACCCTGCATTCACTATATCTGGTCTCCCACGGACCCTGCATTCACTAAATCTGGTCTCCTCGGACCCTGCATTCACTAAATCTGGTCTCCTCGGACCCTGCATTCACTATATCTGGTCTCCTCGGACCCTGCATTCACTATATCTGGTTTCCCCGGACCCTGCATTCACTATATCTGGTCTCTCCGGACCCTGCATTCACTGTATCTGGTCTCACCGGACCCTGCATTCACTATATCTGCTCGCCTCGAACCCTGCATTCACTATATCCGCTCTCCCCGGACCCTGCATTCACTATATCTGGTCTCCTCGGACCCTGCATTCACTATATCTGGTCTCCCCGGACCCTGCATTCACTATATCTGGTCTCCCACAGTACACAGAACATGGAAATGCAATTATTTTAGTAAATATAAACTGCTAAATACCTTCTCTCATTAGCAGTATATATCATTCTTGTGACTTCTATCAGTTTCCAGTTGAGCACTGGTTAAAGCTTGTAGGAGTTTCCATTCTCCCCTGTCCTATGAGGCTGCATGACCCCAGGCCCTCTGTCTGAACAGCGCTGATTGGCCGGCCCTGTGCTGATCAAATGCACCCCCCCCCCCCCAAAAAAAAATAAACTCTCTAGCAATACTCACCAAACTGAGCATGAGCAGAGTGCCTCCTAGAGGACATTTCCAACATGCCCGATCTCTCAAATTCGATGTTCGCTTCTAAATCGGTTGTTGCTGTGATCCACTAATGGTGTGAAATTCAAACGAAAATTCTTATAAAAGATTTTTTAATTCAAATTTTTTCAGATTTCGACCCATGTATGGCCAGCTTAAGTCTTGTAGACCTCCACACATTCCAGTTCATAAGACATATAGGCATCTCCTGACATGATCCCGTAACTGAGAGATGGGTATTTAATTTTTCTCCATGGGATTGGTATTTAAAACGTGTGTCAGGGACTTGTAAATATTTATGTTTCTGATACTTTTTTTTTTTCTAACCGCAGAGAACCAGGATGATGAGGTAGCGGAAACCGTATATAGAGATAGAAATCGCAGCTTACCCCAGCAGCTGGTACCTTCCATGACAGATGAGACGTTCAAGATGGTTCCACTCAGCCCTCGTCACACGGCCGTTCTCTTCTACATGAGCTGTAAGTTTCCAGATGCATTCCTTCCTGGAGGTAGAAGTCATCCTGACGAGACAGTATAAATATATGTCAGAGTGTTTAATTTTGTGTTAGTTCAGCTATGACAGAACACATATAATAGATCTGAGGGGAGTCTTCAGAAACAAAGCTTTGTGACGCTTATGGTACCCATTCACATATGTATGTACTGATCTAAACAGCCAATAAATTTACAATTTCAGAGACTTAATTAAATTGGTTACATCTGTGGGAGATTCCAATGTGTGGCATTAATGCTAAGGCAGTCTGAATTTGTAGACTGGCACAGGCTAATGGGATCCCAGAACTCTTTATTTAACACAGGAATAAAAAAAAAAAACAATGGTCCTTCCTTGCTTACATGTTTCAGCCCTGTGTGGGCCTTAATCATAGCCTATGATTAAGGCCCACACAGGGCTGAAACATGTAAGCAAGGAAAATGTGAAATTGTACGCTGCTGTTGCTCTAATAAATTACGTCAATATTATGTGACCTTTTGGTGTGATGTAATATTCATTGTTATATAGCAAACATAAAAGTGAGTGCTATAAATCACTTTACTCATAGGTGCAATTCCTGTGAAAATAAACAATACTAAAACAAAATGAAAATTAATTTATTAGCACTTCCTCCTGGCAGCACTTGGGTCGTTGGTTCAAATCCCAACCATGGCACCATCTGCTTGGAATTTGCATGTACACCCTGTGCCTGTGTGGGTTTCCTCTGGCTACTCCGGTTTCCTCCCACACTCGAAAGACATGCTGGTGGGTTAACTGGCCCCTGTCTAAATTGTCCCTAGTATGTGTATGTATGAATGTGAGTTAGGGACCTTAGATTTTAAGCTCCTTGAGGGAAGGGACTGATGTGAATGTACTATATATATATATATATATATATATATATATATATATATATATATGTATATAAATCGCTGCGTAAATTGACGTCACACTATATAAGCACCTGTAGTAATAATAATATCCAGGTCTAGAGTCTCTCTTTAAATATTCAATAGTTAGTTTATCAACAACACAAAACTTCTTCCGTGATTCTGGAACCATCACCATCCATAATAATGCTCCATGGTGCCTCTCAATGTACATCACATGTGCCACATCTGTGCTCACAGAACTTTCACCTCCATGAAGATGTTACTACATCAGGGTTCCTCCGCTGGATGAATCCTCCAACACTTCCTGCCCTCTAGGGACTCTCCTCTGTGTCCCCAGTGCTACAGGAATAACCAGGTAAAGGTCCCTTTAAGGCTTTCCTGAATTCATGCAGCCATATTTGCCTTACGCATAAGGCTCCATGTACACGGGACACTTCTGAACGATGGAAACTGACTGCTGGGTAGGTTAAAAAACGCCTGTTTAGCCGCGTTTGCATACCGTGTTTATGAGCGTTTGTGTTTAGAAGCGTTTTTTTAAAAATAACCTCCGGAGACCTTCCAAAACGCACAGAATGCACTGAAAAACAGTAAAAAATTAACTATTTCAGACATTTTGAGAGAAATAGAGAGAGTGGAAGCAGAGAGAGCAGTATGTGTTGAGATTAGTTGTCTTTTTTTTTTGTGGTGTTTGGATGTGTTCCAGCTCATTTCTGTGCAGAAATTATTGCAGCCGTGTCTAACATATTTTCTTTCATGCGAAACCTCAAAGTATGGTGTACCGGGTCCATTTGAGTATCGGGAAAACCCTTTGCATGCATTTTTCATGATGAAAAAAGGCTCTGGACCTCATCCGGGAAATGGAAGAGTTAAAAAAAAATGTCATATGCAAACACTTATAAATGCAGTTAGCCGCGTTTACAAGCGTTTGGTGTTTAAAACCCTGATAACATCTACTCCTGAGTGCAAGTTTTCTGTGTTCAAAAAAGCGACTGTAAACTCAACTGCCTGTAAACGACGATGTGTACCTGGACACATATGAAAACATTAGGGGGAGTTCAGGGGCTGCTGAACAAAACATTGAACAGCTCCTAAACATGAGTTTATCAGCTGCAGTGTACATGAGCCCTAAGGGGGCAAGGGGCTTAAAGTGGAGCTCCACCCAAAAGGGGAAGTTCCCCTTAAAGGACTGCTCTCCCGCTCCCCATTAAGGATTGGCACCTTTGGGGGGCGGGGGGGGGGGAGTGGGTACCTGAATTTTCCAGTCTAGGCGATTGGAAACACGTGACAGGTCCCAGAAGACTACAGGACCATTCATGAAGCGCAGCGCTACTCGCACATGCGCAGTGGGCACCCGGCTGTGAAGCCGCAAGCTGTCACAGCCGGGTACCCACACTGAAGATGCCGGCCTCCTGGAATACAGGACGGTCGGTGAAACGGGCTGCAGAGGGGACACACCGCGAGAGACCGAGGGACAGGTAAGTGGCTGTTTTTTAAAAGTCAGCAGCTACAGTTTTTGTAGCTGCTGACTTTCATTTTTTGACAGGGTGAGCGGAGCTCCGCTTTAATTGCCTGTACAGAGCTGTCTGCACACTTGGTAATATCTGTATATATTTCCTGTTGCAGCTACATGACTAAGAGGAGCATCTGCTGATAATTGCAGGTCAGGGAGGCAGGGAACACAGAATCCATCACGCTCTAAGAATCTGTGGGAGATTCTAATGCCAAATAATCTCACAATTTTTCAACAATCATTAATTAAACATCTGTTTGCACTCATATGTATAGCTACAACGTTTATGGAAAATCTGTAGGTTTTTATATATATATTTTTTTATATAAGCAGCAAATGTGACCAGCTTAAAGTGTATTTCCACTTTTTCTTACTCAATTTTTTTATTAAACATTTCACATCTAGAAGATTAGAGAATAAGCAATGTCATAGAAAGAGCATTCATAGCCTCCACTTATGGAGAATAAATGAACGGACAGCCAACTAGGATATAAATGACAGCACAAAGGCTATTTGAAGAGATGGCACTCCCTAAGTTTGACCCCCAACGTGGAATTAGGACATTACAAGTACCTGAGAAAACCATTGGAGAAGAGGGTAGGGCAGTGGCGTCCTGAGGCAGGTGCGGCCCGCACCGGGTGACACCAACCGCACGGGGTGACACCGGACCTGCTCTATGAAAAGGTAAGTTGTAAAGCAAGCCGACGATCCCCGCAGGATGGATCCGATCCATCCTGCGGGGATCATCGGCTTTCTTTACCACTTATCTTTTCTTGGAGCGGGTCCGCTGTCACCCCATATTGGTTGCATGCCGACGTACCCGCAGGATGGATGGATCGGATCTGCGGATTGGGGAACATAATGGATCGAACTCCGATCCATTATGCTCAATCCTCAGATCCAAAACAATTCTGCAGGGATCATCGGAGGGGGTGTCACCAAGTGTTACCGCATCGGGTGACACCAACCCTAGGGACACCTCTGTGGTAGGGTACCCCCAGCCTGGGCTCAGGGTAGGTGGAGGAGCGATGAGAGAACAAAGGACAGTATTTTTTATTTTTTCAGCTAAGTTTGGATAATATCTATTTTGTTTGTTACAGGTTCCAATTCATGTATCATAATTATATGTATACTGTATATTGAAAGTTGCTGCTCATCTTTTTACTCACTGAAATGTCTTATTTAGCTAAGGAGAGATCTGGGAAGCAATGCTTGCCATAATTCATTCTGCTTCTGCTGTGCTGGCAGATCTTCATTGTCAGTTGTAAACTAGATGTGCACATTATTATTATTATTATTGTACAGTATTTATAAAGCGCCAATAGTTCACTCAGCGCTGTACATTACAAAGGGGGACAGAATATGTGACAGAACAATACCAATACAATGCAAAACATGAGGGGATCGAGGGCCCTGCTCTTTCGAGCTTACAATCTAGGGGGGAGGGGATAGTGGTACAGGAGGAGATAGCTGTGGGGGATGGAGTGGTAGGAAGAGTGGAGGAGGTCGGCAAGTTAGCAGGGGGTGGGGTAGGCTTCCCTGAAGAGGTGGGTTTTCAGGGTGCGCCTAAAGGAGAGGAGAGTAGGTGATAATCTGATGGGTTGGGGCAGGGAGTTCCAGAGGATGGGTGACACCCTGGAGAAGTCCTGGAGGCGGGCATGGGAGGAGGAGACCAGGGAACTAGAGAGAGAAGGAGGTCTTGTGAGGAGCGGAGTGTGCGTGTTGGGCGGTACTTGGATATTAGGTCAGTGATGTAGTTCGGGGCAGTATGGTGGACGGCTTTGTACGTCAGTGTTAGGATTTTGAATTTGATCCGTTGCGCAATCGGAAGCCAGTGGAGGGATTGGCAGAGGGGGGGTGGAAACGGAGCGGTTGGAAAGGTGAATGAGTCTGGCAGCCGTATTCAGGATGGACTGAAGCGGGGATAGCCAGCGGCGAGGCAGGCCAGTGAGGAGGGAGTTGCAGTAGTCGAGTCGTGATATGATGAGGGAGTGGATGAGCTGTTTAGTGGTTTCTGGGGTTAGGAACGTGCGGATTTTGGCGATGTTGCGGAGGTGGAGTCTGCATGTTGCGGAGGTGGAGTCTGCATGTTGCGGAGGTGGAGTCTGCACGAGTTTGTTAAAGATTGGACTTGGGGCTGGAAGGATAGGTTGGAGTCCAGAATGACACCAAGTACTCTGGCCTGCGGGGCGGGTTTGATGGTGGCGTTGTTGGATGTGATGGAGAAGTCAATGGGGGGTGGGGTCCGGGCTGGGGGGAAGACAAGAAACTCGGTTTTGGAGAGGTTCAGTTTAAGGAAGTGGAGCGACATCATATTGTCTGTCCTTGAAAAAAAGGGCTAAAGATGTAAAGGCTTGGGCTCTGCAATGTATTTTTTTTGTTTACAAACATTTTTATTATGAAATAGACTACAAAAATTGCATCATTTAGTAAGGTAGAATAAACAGCTTGAAAAAAAAGCATATGTAAGAAATGAATAGAAATACAAAGTACAATCATAGAAGTATAAAAAAGCAGTACATGAAAGAGGAAGTCAATAATATCGGCAGAACAACCACAAGAGCAATAAAAATAACAACCCATGATAGACCATCAATCGAATAATAATTGTCAATGTGTTCTCCAACCATCCCATTTCCTGTTGAATAAATCCTCTCTGCAATGTATTTTAATGCACTTAAAGAAAAAACTCCGTCATATTGTCATCTTCTTCATATCGCCATCTATTCTGAGCAATAAAATCTACCTTCGAGTTCTATACATAAAGCTGGACATAAGCAGAGCAAATGTCTGCTGATCCTTGATGAGCTGTGGATGGGCCTCTCAGCATCCTCCCTTCTAACATCCTTCCCTCTGAAATATCAAAGGAGCTGAGTGAAAAATCATTGCTCAGACAGCAGTTGCATCCAAACAGATGCAGCCAATGTTCAGGCATTCAGATTCCGGCTGTCAGAACACAGAAGCCGGCAGGATACAGATTCGTCCATTCATACTGATCAGCGTGGACCGCAGTGTTCATTTTGATGTAACATTTTTATATCGTTTTAGTCATAGTCTTTTTTGACTAAAATGCCATTTTAGTTTTTGTCATATTTTAGTCATCTGAATTGTTTTAATTTTAGTCTACTAAAAATCTTCACATCCTGGCCACGCCCCCCCCCAGTCTACTAAGATCTCCAGTGCATTTTAGTCGACTAAAATCTAATGGGTTTAGTTAAATTGTAATGCACTATTTATAGTGTTACTAAACCCACAACAGTACAATCAGTCTGTAGATGCAGTAAAGCATGCTTGTTATACTCACTGTGGAACCTAAGGGGTTAATCCTCCGCATTGTGTAAAAAGGCTGTTTGATCCTGTCTTCTCTGGTCTGCCCCTTCTTCTACTGTCCCCAATATAACCCCTGATAGAACGGAGGCTTGGAGGCAAGCTGCACATGCTCAGTTTGGTGTGTATTGCTAGAGGTTTTTTTTTTTGTGAGGAAGCATGTGATTAGCACAGGGCCAATCAGCACTGTCCAGACAGAGGGTCAGGGGTCATGCAGGCTTATAAGACAGTCTGAGGAGAATGAAAACTCCTCCAAGATTAACTAGTGCTCGGCTGGACACTGATAGAAGTCACAAGACTGCTCTAACTGCTGATGAGAAAAGGTATTTAGCAGTTTGTATTTACTAAAATACTTACATTTCCATGTTCTGTGTACTGTGGGAGACCAGATATAGTGAATGCGGGGTCCGGGGAGACCCGATATAGTGAATGCAGGGTCCGGGGAGACCAAATATAGTGAATGCAGGGTCCGGGGAGACCAAATATAGTGAATGCAGGGTCCGGGGAGACCGGATATAGTGAATACAGGGTCCGGGGAGACCTGATATAGTGAATGCAGGGTCCAGGGAGACCGGATATAGTGAATGCAGGGTCCAGGGAGACCGGATATATTGAATGCAGGGTCCGGGGAGACCAGATATAGTGAGTGCAGGGTCCAGGGACACCGGATATAGTGAATGCAGGGTCCTGGGAGACCAGATATAGTGAACGCAGGTTCTGGGGAGACCGGATATAGTGAATGCAGGGTCTGGGGAGACCAGATATAGTGAAAACAGGGTCCGGGGAGACCAGATATAGTGAATGCAGGGTCCTAGGAGACCAGATAAAGTAAATGCAGGGTCCGGGGAGACCGGATATAGTGAATGCAGGGTCCTGGGAGACCGGATATAGTGAATGCAGGGTCCTGGGAGACCAGATATAGTGAATGCAGGGTCTGGGGAGACCGGATATAGTGAATGCAGGGTCCGGGGAGACCAGATACAGTGAATGTAGGGTCCAGCGAGACAGATGTAGTGAATGCAGGCTCCGGGGAGAGCAGATATAGTGAATGCAGGCTCCGGGGAGAGCAGATATAGTGAATGCAGGGTCCGGGGAGACCAGATATAGTGAATGCAGGGTCCGGGGAGACCAGATCTAGTGAATGCGGGGTCTGGGGAGACCAGATATAGTGAATGCAGGGTCCTGGGAGACCAGATATAGTAAATGCAGGGTCTGGGGAGACCAGATATAGTGAATGCAGGGTCCGGGGAGACCGGATATAGTGAATGCAGGGTCTGGGGAGACCAGATACAGTGAATGCAGGGTCTGGCGAGACAGATGTAGTGAATGCAGGGTCCGGGGAGACCAGATATAGTGAATGCAGGGTCCGGGGAGACCAGATATAGTGAATGCAGGGTCCGGGGAGACCGGATATAGTGAATGCAGGGTCCTGGGAGACCAGATATAGTGAATGCAGGGTCTGGGGAGACTGGATATAGTGAATGCAGGGTCCGGGGAGACCAGATACAGTGAATGCAGGGTCCGGGGAGACCAGATACAGTGAATGCAGGGTCTGGCGAGACAGATGTAGTGAATGCAGGGTCCGGGGAGGCCAGATATAGTGAATGCAGGGTCCTGTGTTTAGTAACACTTTAAGCATTTCTCTACAATTTCCAATCTCATTTTATACTCCTGGAGTAAAAAAAAATCTAATAATATGTTATTATTTATGGTATTAAGATTCGAAGATGCATTCGAACAGACAAATATTTAGCCATTGTGATATATAATCAGTGTTAATTTTGTCATCAAATTCGATTTAGTTGTAGTCATAGTCTTTTGACTAAAATGCCATTTTAGTTTTAGTCATATTTTAGTCACCTGGATTGTTTTAGTTTTAGTCGACTAAAATTGTGTCACTTTCTACCAGAGTGCGCAGTCTATATTCCTTTAGTAAATAAACTGCAATGGATTTTTTTAATATCCCCCTGAAGTTCAGCTGTATTTTCTTTTCTACTTTGCAGGGGATCCTGTATCATTGTCATTCTTGGAATCATTTGCAAACATGGCAGTAAAATATAAAGGTAGGAAATGATCTCTCTCCTAGTACATAAAACATGTCTAGAAGTAAACTGTCTGGTAGAAGTTTATGTCAAGAATTGCATGATGTAAGTGTCTTTACATATAGGTGTTTTAAAAAGTCAAACGGAAAGAATCTGCACACTGTTGTGTCAGTGATTCTCTCAGCCAACACTTTGGAGTGCAATTTCATAAACAAAAGGAACAAACTCATTATTTTTTAAGGACTCTTCCCCACTACTTATTGCTTTGGGTTTATAGTGTATACACACAAAAAAACTAAGGAATACTTTCCTAAATTTTTCTGTACCCCCAGGGCTTAAAATTTCAAGTCCTGAGCTACTAGCCAGTAGCCATGTACACACACATACACACACAGAAACATGTACACACACGCACAGAGACACATGTACACAAACACACATACAGACACATGTATACACACACAGGCATGGACAGACACACATACACACAGATACATGTACATACACAGAAATACAAATGCACAGACACATATACAGTTGCAAGAAAAAGTATGTGAACCCCTTGGGATTACGTGGAGTTTTGCATGAATTGGGCATAAAATGTGCTCTGAACGTCATCTAAGTCACAACAATAGAAGAATACAGTCTGCTGAACATAATACTACACAAACATTAGATGTTGCCATGGTTTAATTGCACATAACATGTAAGCATTCACAGTGCAGGGAGGAAAAAGTATGTGAGGCCCTAGCTTAATGACTTCTCCCAGAGCTAATTGGAGCCAGGAGTGAGCTAACCTTGACTCCAATCAGTGTGATGATATTGGATGTGTTGCTGACAGCTGTCCTGCCCTTAAAAAACACACACCTGTTTTGGGTTTACTGGTTTCAAGAAGCACTGTCTGATGTGAACCATGCCTCGCAGAAAAGAGCTCTCAGACCTACGATCAAGAATTGTTGACTTGCATGAAGCTGGAAAGGGTTACAAAAGTATCTCCAAAAGCGTCGATGTTCATGTGTCCACGGTAAGACAGACTGTCTACAAATGGAGAAAGTTTAGCACTGTTGCTACTCTCCCTAGGCGTGGTCGTCCTGTAAAAATGACTGCAAGAGCACAGCGCAGAATGCTGCATGAGGTAAAGAAGAATCCCAGAGTGTCAGCTAAAGACCTACAGAAATCTCTGGCACATGCTAACATTTTTGTTGACACATCTACAATAAGGAAAACATTAAACAAGAATGGAGTACATGGGAGGACACCACGGAGGAAGCCATTGCTGTCCAAAAAGAATATTGTAGAATATTGTAGCACGTTTGAAGTTTGCAAAAGAGCACCTGGATGTTCCACAGCACTACTGGCAAAATATACTGTGGACAGATGAAACCAAGATTGAGTTGTTTGGGAAGAACACACAACACTATGTGTGGAGAAAAAAAGGCACAGCACACCAACATCAAAACCTCATCCCCACTGTAAAACATGGCGGAGGGAGCATCATAGTTTGGGGCTGTTTTGCTGCCTCAGGGCCTGGACGGATTGTTGTCATTGATGGGAAAATGAATTCCAGAGTTTATCAAGACATTTTGCAGGAAAACGTACGACCATCTGTCCGCCAACTGAAGCTCCGCAGAGGATGGGTGATGCAACAGGACAATGACAAAGCATACAAGTAATTCAACAAAACAATGGCTGCAACAGCACAGAATACGCCTTCTGGAGTGGCCCAGTCAGAGTCCTGACCTCAACCCGATTGAAATGCTGTGGCATGACCTTAAGAGAGCGATTCACACCAGACATCCCAAGAATATTGCTACACTGAAACAGTTTTGTGAAGAGGAGTGGTCCAAAATGACTCCAGATCGTTGTGCAGGTCTGATCTGCAACTACAGGAAACGTTTGGTTGAGGTTATTGCGGCCAAAGGAGGGTCAACCAGTTATTAAGTCCAAAGGTTCACATACTTTTTCCTCCCTGCACTGTGAATGTTTACATGTTATGTGCAATTAAACCATGGCAACATCTAATGTTTGTGTAGTATTATGTTCAGCAGACTGTGTTCTTCTATTGTTGTGACTTAGATGACGTTCAGAGCACATTTTTTGCCCAATTCATGCAAAACTCCACGTAATCCCAAGGGGTTCACATACTTTTTCTTGCAACTGTACATACATACACACAGACACATGTACATACATACACACACATGTACACACACACATACATGTACATACACACAGATACACACAGACACATGTACAATTGTACATGCATACACGTACACCCCCCATAAAAAGTTGCAGTACTTTGTTGTTCACTCACAGATCCGGTACTGCACTCTAGGGGGAGGCAGAGAGCACAGCACACACTCCTTGCTTTGCTTTCACTGCACTCAGCTATTGAGCAGTCTGACGACTCCCAGTGCCAATTACAGATATCCAGCCTGAGCTCTGAGCCTGCTCAGCAAGACGGCCCTGGGGGGACACACTCGCCCCCACCATAATTTCCACTCGCCATTGGAAGAGCAGGCGAGTGGAAATTTCAAGCCCTGCCTTAGACCCTTGATGGTATTGTGTGTAAGCATAACATTTTGAATTGATGTGGTGATTAGAAATAGATATGGATGTCTACTCCTATGATAGGGCATTGCCTTGTAATTATACTTGTTACTTTTAGGCTTAGTTCACATTAGCTTCGAAAGCAGGCGTTTGAGGGGCGTTTTTAACGCTCCTCAAACACCTATGGAAATGATACTGTGGGCAGCACACAGTGCTGTTCACATTAGCAAAACATGAAGCGTTAGCGTCACGTTACTTCGAAATTGAAGGCGCACCGGCCTAGTGCATTACCATAAAAAATGTATTTATTAAGTAATAAAAGTTGGCTCTGAGGAAGAGGCAAGTCCTCGAAACGCATCGGCCTGTCGGAGGTCCAGATTTCCTATTACGGACAGACACGTAGTGCGGATTGGACAGAGCTGTTCTTTCACGATGTGCCTTTGACTGTATTGTCTTTTTGTGAGTACAATTCCTACTTTTATTATTTAATAAATAAACTTTTTAAGGTAATGCACTAGGCCGGGTCACCCTCTGTTGTTCTCTACTCAGTATATTTGGACTTCCTCAGCCATTTGAGGGCAGCAAGGCGTGCATATCCTAAGAAATTTGTGATGTGATCCCATCCATACAGAGTCCATCCCTAAGCGCAGGAGTATCTAGGTTTGCCGTTTCTTCACTTCGAAATTGAAGCCTCATGTCGAGTCAGGAGGAGTTGAAGCCTTTTAACGCCTCCCATTCAAATCTATGGCAAGCGTTTGCGGGGTGTTTGCAAGGCATTTGCGTGGCCCTTAATACCATTAGAGTTTATTATAGGCATTTGTAGTGCGGTTTTAACGCTTGTAAAGTTTACTAAAAAGATATCTGAATACATTTTGGCCAAGATTTATGAAGAAAGATTATTTTATTTGCAAAATTTTAAAAGAAAAACACTTTTTTTTCAAAATGTTTGGAATTTTTCATTTATATAACAAAAAATTTAAAATCCCAGTGGTGAAAAAATACCACCAAAATAAAGTTTTATCTGTCTCAAAGAATGCTAAAAAATTCATATGGGTACAGTGTTGCATGACCGCGCAATTGTCATTCACAGTGTGATAGCACTGAGAGCTGAAAATTGGCCTGGACTGGAAGGGGGTGAAAGTGCCCAGACTTGAAGTGGTTAAAAACCTTGTTTGGAGGCATTTGCTCGGAAGGCATTATCCAAGTGCTGTTTGTTAGGATGTATAAAAATGGAGAAAGGAATGAACTTGGTACGTTCCATTTGAATGGATAGGGAGAAGTCCATTAACCCTGATCCTTGCTGTGAGGGCGATATATAGGGACCATAACTTTGTGTGTAAAAGCAAGGAACAGACTGATTGTAACAACAGGGTGGCCTTGAGCAACCTCCATTCAAGGCGATCCAATGCCTTTTCAACAGCTAGGCACAATAGGCATAAGGGAATTTTTTTCCTGTGGGAACGGTTAATGAGGGAGAGTGTTTTGATGGTTTATCACAGGCCACGCAGTGGGGAACAAAACCCATTTGATCCAGGTTAATCAATGATGGGATAAGGGGTTGTAAGCAGAAAGACCATATTTTTAAGTAGATCTTTAAGTTTGCATTAATCAGGGATGTGGGTTTGTAGCACGAACGCTGAGTGGGATCCTTTTGGTCTTTCAGGACCAAGGTGATGTGGGCTTCCTGAGATTGTCAGGGAAATGAACATGATTCCAAGATGACATTAAAAGTGGTGTTTAGTATAGGAGCTAAGCTGTCCTTGAACTGTCCTTAACCTCTTCACGCCGGCCGAGCGCAAATGTGTGGCCTCCCGGTGTTTGGGCCTAGACGCCGAGTGGCTGCACATTTGCGTTCTATTAAAAAAAGACATATGCACTCCCAGCACACATGTCCGGTAGTCACAGAAAGGTCCCGATCTCCTCTTTCGATAGGGACCTTTCCCGATCATGTGACCGCCGTGGCGGCGTGTCACGGCGGTCACATGACCCTAAAACCCGCCCCGCCTCTGGGCTCCTGAAACCCTTAAAGGGCGCTGGTGCGAAGGAGTTAAAAAGCTCCCGAGTAGCCATCAGGACCAGGACTCTTGCCTGAGGGCAAAGGTTTTATTGTATGAAGTATCTCATCAGTGGTGAGAGGATCTAAAAGAGCAATTGCCTCTGTTGGGTCTGTTATGGACCACCTGGTGTACTCTAGCAGTCCACAGGACAGGATTCCCCAGGATGCGGAGTCTAAGCCCCAGTCCGCTTGTTCACCAGAGCCCCTGATGGTGGGGATGGGCTTGGAGCAGACAGTGACCAGGTTGCGGCCCCTGAGTACACCCACCTGAGGTAGAGGAATCACCAGAAGTTATGACAGGTAGAGAGCCTGACGTGAAGAGGCAGACAGGTCTGGAGAGTAGCAGCTAATCCGTGCGGGTCGGATGGATGGCTGAGCAATAGCTTGGTCAAACGGGCCAGGTCGGTAACAG